TTACACTTTACTGTAAAATTTAGTTTTATTAATTTTGATACTATTTGACAGTACTGTCAATAGTATAAAATAACTTTAATGTACACAAATTATTTTTTCAAATATCATATAATATAAAAAAATGAGTAAAAACACTTTAAAGCACTTATTCTATAATTATAGTTAACTACTATACATATGAAAAAAATTAGACATAATTATAGTTAATTTATCTATATTCATCATCATCAAAACTTAAGCTAAATATAATATCACAAGCTATTATGTCCGACAATCTTTCCTTTTTTAATGATGACAAATCACTTATGAAAAATATGCTTATATGATAGAAAATAAGTACTTAGCAAATTATATTTTTCATGACAACTTCTTCCTCTGTTTATCATTAACAAAAAGGCTTTGAAGTATATGCAAGAGAATAAAAGAATAAGATAAGGTTTAGAGTTTTCTCTTGAATATGATTTTTTCTCCTATTTGTCACGTGAATAAATTTGAAATATGAATGTAATTTCTCCTCGATATGACTATATCAAGGTGGCCTTGTCTCAAAATTTTCTTCCCCTATTGGAGAAATATGAGCATGAGGCTTCTTGATGTTCTTGGTTTGAGAATTGCTGCTCAAAAATAATTTTTCTCCCTTAGTGACACCATTTTGTGACAAACTGATGAAGTACTTGGTGCAATAGTTTGTTAATTTATCCTCAAATGATTAGTTCTTCTTTCGTACAAGGAGTTGGAGAATTTGCTTGCTAATAAATGTTGATTCTTCTTTGTGTATGAATTGAACACTCATAAATAACAAGAAAAAATCAATTAGTAAATATAGTGTCATGATAGAAATATATCAAGATACGCTTATAACACATAGATACCAAATGTGAATGACAAAAGATGGTTATGAATAAAAATATCTTGATACATATTGTCAAAATATTAAAAATCAAAGTTGAAATAGCATCAAATATGAGAATAATTTAACTTCATCAAAATTTTCATTTGGCTTAAAGTATGAGATACTGAATGTAAAACCAAATATTATGATTTTATAAGTATGATGCTCAAATTATGTTTTTTCAAAAGCAAATAGAGCCTATAGCAAGGCATAAAGATGTTAAAGATAGTTTTCATAATCAAAACTTGTCAATCATGCAATTCTCCCCCTTAATGAATGCATATAACTTAAATTTAAAAGGGTAAGGGTTTAAAAATGCTCATTTATTTTTGGCAATTGGTGTTAATCTTGTGAAGATTTTTTCCATTGTTGTTTCTTCTTAAACTCTTCCTTCCTTTTCTTTTTGATTCCTTTTCTTCTCTTCCTTCTTGATCTTTTAGCTAGTTGCAAGCTTATAGATACCGTTGTTAAATTTCTTCAAGCTTGATGCAATTGTCCAACAATTATGACAAAGCTTGATGCATTTTGATCATTTCTAGCTTCACATCACTTGAATTTATCACTTTGCTTATTGTTGTAACTGGGGTGATCCTCTTTTCTCAAGTTAGCACATTTTGAATATATGGATACCTAGTTTTTGACAGCTTCAACAACTCATTAATGATATAGCCTTGTGATTTACATGTATATCATTATTGGATCCCACTCAGTCTTGTTATCTATATATTTTTTAACTTTGAAGGCTTGATGATTATTGATGAATTTGATGTTGCTAGATCCTTTCAAGTCCAAGTGTCATTTCCTCTCCCTATCATTTACTTCAACCTTAAGTTGAAGCTTCTTCATCTTACTTAATTGGCTAGTTATCAAACTTTAAGTGAGTTGTTTCAAAAATTTCTTGAAATCTAATTTGGGGATTATCTATTCCATATTTTTTGATATTTTCTTCTTTGAAATTCATGGGAGTGATAAAATGTTGCTAGATGCTATTTTTAATAGACCTACAAATGATAAGTAAAAGATGCAAAATTGTAATATAATCAGTACAAAAAAATAGAACTGGCTTGCAACCTTCTCAACAATTGTGGGGTACTGGACCTGATCAACCATGGCAGCTTCCTTGTAAGAGTGAAAGCAAAATGAAGCGAAGAAGATTGGTGGATGAGCAAGATACTATGGAGAGTCAAAGAAAGGAGGTGAAAGGTATGAAGAGGGATACTACCATGGTTTTGGACATTTGAAAATTCATGATAAGTTTTTCAATCTTTATTTTTATAATCATGTGCTCATCTTATTAATTAATATTATAATTTTTATGTAAAAAATTTTCATTTATATTAGTTAATGTTCTAAAATTATTTTATTTTAGGTTATAAAAATATCTCGTGCCTCACTCAGGTATCATACTAATTATATGTAAAATCTTTTTTTTTTTGACACAACAATCTTTTTTTTTTTTCCTTTTGCTGTTTGATGTGTATTTGTTTACGCTATGCACGATATTGTGATTACTTGTTGCTTGATCTTGGTAAAAGTATTGGATCATTAAAAAAAAATATAGGGAAAATGACACTTAGATCTTAAGGGGACCATTTTATTTCATTAAAAATTAATTTCAAAAGGAAAAACATAATTTTGAGTCCCTGTACATTGTTCAAGTTTTGCTATAGATCTCTACACTTTTTTAAGTATTTTAGATCTCTATACTTTTATTTTTCAGTATTCTAGGTTCATCCATGAGGATTGTAGGGACTTAAAATCAAAAAATAAAATAAAAATGTAAGGATCTTGAACACAAAAAAGAAAAAAGGATCTATAATAAAATTCTCGCAAAATATAGAAACTTAAAGTTATGTTTTTTCATTTCAAAATATAGAGAAAGTCCCTTGGATTTTTAAATGATTTTTTGATATATTGCAAAAGACTCAAATATCCTTAGTAATTGTGACATGAAATTTTAAACTCATCAATTTGAAACCTACTCTCTAAAATTTGCAACTTGTTTTGCAATTCAATTCTCCAATTTTATTTAAGAACATATTTTGGACAAAAAAACACAAAATTTTAACGTTGAATTTTATGAGATTATTTATTTAGCTCTAGAAACTTATAACTTGCTATCATATATTTGCAACTCTATCTACTGTGATTTGTAATTTTGTATTCCAATTTTATTTATGAACACAATTTTAATATTGATTTTTCTCATGTAAAATTACTTGTTTAATTCAAAGAATTTGGAACTTCCTCTCCCAAATTTGTAGTTCCATTTACCTTAGTTTGCAACTCTACATCCAAATTTTATTTAGGAAAGCAAGTGAATGAGTAAGGTTTTAAAAATAGAATAAGTTATTGAATCAAATTGGGCACTAATTTATGGTTCTATAATCGAATCAATTGATATTAAATTAATATATTTTTAATTTATATATATTATAATTAAATAAAAAATACATATAAATACGCATACATATATATATATATTTCAAAAAATATTATAAATGTTTGATAATATGATTTATTGTTCATGAATACATGATTAATATTAATCATGAATGAAGCCTTCCATTTAGAAATTAAGAAAGATGTTGATAGATTAATAAAGTGTTAGACACTTTTTGATGGCATATTTAAGTTAAATTAAAAACATAGAGTTTAAACAAAAAAATATAGATAAATTATAGAAGGGAGAATAATAGTTAAAGTCTAAGAAGACCAATTAATTCAAATTAAGTCCCAACAAATTTTAAAGTGTCAACAAAGTCATTTGGTTCTTCAGTGGTAAAATATTAAATCTAATGGGTCTATGGATTTGTAAGTTCAACCCCTAAATTTTCAACTCCGTTATAATGCATTTACAACTTATTTTTTAAATTTTAATGAGAAACACAAATTATTTAATTTTCATATTGAATCATATTAAGTCTAACAACTATAGAGATTTGCAAGTCCAGCTCTCAGTTTTACAACTTTATTGTAATTCATTTGCAATTTATTTTTTAAATTTTAATATGGAATATAAATGTTCATATTTAATGTTAAAAAATATTAAATATAATAACTCCAATAATTTACAAAAAAACCTTACTTCCTCATTATTTGCATATCTTTGATATATCGTTGCTCTCTAATGCCTTCTTGAGAACCAGCACTTTGTGCACCTGTGAGAGCCAACTTGAACCATTGAATTTGATGCCATCACAAACGATTTTGTCTCCAGTTTTTCAGTATGTAGACATGTGATAATATTGACGAAAAAATTGGATGTAACAAGATATGGGTGGGCTTATCAATAAAATAGATAGATTCTCTATTTTTCTATTGCCTATTATTTATTTTTTAATATTGTTAAACTTTTAAAAATAATTATAAATTTATCACAATAAAATTATAAAATAAAAAACCGAACTTGCAAATCTCTAAAATTATTAGATTTAATATTTTATCAATTGAAGGACCAAAGAGCTTTATTGGCAATTTAAATTTAGTTGAAATTTAACTGAAATTAATTAATCCCCTTAATACCTAACTATTATTATCCCATGATAGAAAGTATAAAGATTAAAAAGATGTATTTAATTATAAAAAACTTCAACATACAAGCGAAAATAAAAATCAACCAAAATCATAAGAAAAAAAATAAAAAAAAGAGAGAGAATATATTAAGTTATATGATGCGTGCATAATGTTGTCCCACATCGTTTATGTCAAAACGCAAGGGAGGTGCGCTTACCATAAAAGTAGCGGAGGAGCACGTTTTGATAGGCATGATGGCTAAGCTTCACTTTTGTAAATATTACAACTTATGCCCACTATTCTTCATTTTGTTGTTTTTGTCTTTTTAAAATTTTTAAATTTTAATTTTTTAATTTTATCTGATTTTTAAGGAAATTAGTCTGGTTATCAACCAATTTTTTCAGCCTTTGATCCCTTATGTCTGGTTCTAAGGTGCCTATCGAATCGGACACATAACCAGTTCTCAATTCAACTAAATGAACTACCTGATCCAATTTAATTTGATTTTTAAAACCATAAAATTGATTAATGTAATAAAGAAAAGCAAGTAATATCCAAGTTGTGAATGAATCAAACAAATTCATATCATAATACATTGCACCCCATGATCCCATTGAATACCAATTGAACCAAGACCCAGTTGCATCTTTGAACTTACAGGAGGGAGGCAATGAAGTAGATCTTGAAGCCATCAGCGAAGATGCACACCTATCGCATCTTCAAACCTGTTGTGTATTTGAACTAGATCTTAAGTTTGTCAATTTTCCTTTCAATTCTGGCATCAAGAGCTCTATTGCAATAATTAGATTGATAGAGGATGAGGGGACAAGAGCTCCAAGTGTTGAGGACTCGACGACAAAGATGACCTGGACGAGGAGTGCTAATGGACGATGACGATGTTGGGTTGGTGAGTCTAAACAAGAAGAAGGTCAAAGGAAATGTGAAAAATTAAAATTTTGTTGTTCTAAATAAAATTAAAAAAATTAGTTGCAAATTTAGGCAAATAAAGTTAACTTTATAAATGTATAGATTTGAAATTTTCTATTATAGATATTAAGGGTATTTAAGTCTTCTCCAACACATATTACAATGACTTTCTTCATCTTTTGGAATTGAGACTGTCGTGGAATAAAATAATTCCCTTGGACTTAAGTGTCTTTTTCTTTTCCAAACAATCTCGAGTGTCTTTTTCTTTTCCCAACAGTCTTAAGTGTCATTCTTCCAAAAATGTATTGACCAGAAAAATAGGTTGAAATGAAAAATGGGGGACAAAAAAATTCAAAAGTTTCTGACCCAGTCTTCCATCGTTAGGGTACTGGTGGTGTAACACCCTCAAAAATACAAACCGATTTTTCACAAATTATTAAAACTATTATCATGGTAGAAAATTTTCTTACCATGATATGTCCAAGACAATATACCACAGGTCTTAAAATATTTCAAAAAAAGCAATTAGAATCATGAGGGACAGTTAGGATCCTCATGGCATGATATTTAAATTAGGTCATGAATCAAGAGAGACAAACATAATCCTCTTAGTCAAATAAATACTTTTAATAAAAAGGATTAGAGTTTACATGCTTCACAAAGAAGATATGTCCTAAGTTGGCACAAGATACATTGTATAATCCAAAATAAGAGGCAACGTAAAAGATGGTGTTTCATACACCATAGTTACACCTCTGGTGCTTTCTCGGCCGGACTCGCTCCTGTAAAAATGTTAACCACAGGAATGAGACTTAAAAGTCCCAGTAACCAAAAATTAATATGTAATGATGCATGCGGATGTAACTAATCATGCGATTGTTAAGTGGGCACACAAAACATTTAACCAAACAATATTTTCAAACAAACCGAACAAGTATTTAATTGCATGACTGCACCTTATATCCTCCTTTCACCATGCTCGGACGCCAAATCACCCGGCCAAAGGTGAGTTGGACCAAGCGACACGCCACTCATTGGGTCCAATGAGGGCTTACCATGTGGTAATAATTAACCAAACAGAAATTCCCATTAACACCATACATTAAAATACCCTGACAAGTCATGCATCATTCAAATATCCAAACAGAAATATATCCGAACAATAATATCTCATCATGATAAACAAAAATAAATTTTTAACCCACTTGGCAATGATTTCACGGAAGTATATAACAGTATTTATTTTCAATAATTCATAATTTTTCCAAACAACAAAACAACACATAATCATTCACAAACACACCCATCACAACACATTAATAATGGTTACCTTGTGTCTTGAATAACAAGTTCCCTTTCACAACTCCTTTTTCACCACTATCTTTGTCAATATAATCTACATAATTATTTCACAATACTATATATTAATTTTACATTAAAATAAATAACTCTAATTTAAAGAGTTAGAAAGTCTTAGATCTATAGTCCATATTAACACTAATTTAAGATTTATGCCTCATTTAACTTCCCAAATTCTTTTCTAAAATTCTCGTACCCTAATGAACTATTTTTTTTATCCTCAATTCACTTCTAGTATCACAATTTCATCCTTCTATATTCTAAAAATTCATCCAAAAATAAATTAAAAATTTTAAAATTATCCTGAAGCCTCAAATCCCTTTCTATAACCTCAAAAATACCTATTCATACTTAAATAAATATTTAATAATCATAGGTTTATCCCTACGTCTCAGATTCCACATAAATTCAACCATATAGATCTAGATTTTAACTCAAAAATTCTTAAACATGAGTTTCAACCTTAAGAAAATATTCTATAATATTTTTTTATATCCCTAAGAATTTTAACCTATATTTTTAATCCATCATATCATCAGATTAACTATCCTATAGAAAAATCCTAATCAAAATATTTACTCTATCCTACAAAATAATCATATCACTAGAAAGCTAATATTATTTAGAAAATAACTACAAAATTAATTTTGTAATTAAATAAATTTTTAAATGCTAATATAAACAGGAAAGTTAGAACATACCTGAAGAAAAAGAAAATAATCCCCCCTTGCGAGAAAACGCCGAGCAAAGTGAGAGGAAGAGAGAAAAATAATATAAAAATGGGATTGTGAGTCCCAAAATTATATTAAAAAAAAACTATAGGTTTGAATTTAATTATTCAAACCTTTGGGCCAAAAGTTGCAATTTTTTTTAAATTGCATCTTAGCCTTTCATGCTTCCTAATGCACACACCCCCTCCTTTTTATACATGAAGGCACCTCTTCTCTTCCTCATCTAACCAATGTGGGACTTAGAAACAACAACCTTCCACCCCCTTTTTTTTTTTCCTTCTACCTTCTCTTTTTTTTTAACACATACATAAAAAAATTATTTATGTATTATATCTTAACTAAATATTGTTTATGTAGTTTTAAATTTAAATTTTTAAATTCATAATTAAATACCTAACCATAATATTATTTCTAAATAACCTCAAATAATATAAATTCCTATTATTATTTTTTTTTCTCAAAACCTAAATTCCACAATTTCTTTATTATATAAAAAAATCAGGATGTTACAGGTGGCGCTATGTTTCTCAGCCGAGTGTAAAAAGCAACTGTTTGAAGTCATCTCTTAGTTTACTCGTAGGCAATGGATCCATACAATAGGTTGAATAGGGATCATAAAATATCTTGTGCAGGAAAGATGGAAGATTGGAAGCAGGAAGCATCACATTATTATTTACATTTTTTTTTCCCGAAGCGTTAACAAAATCTAAATGGGAACTGCATTGGCTAAATAAATCATTATCAGCTTCTGCTGCGCAAGCGTAATCAACTAATTGTTGATTTGTCTCTCTCCAAAAGGGATTCAAAGAGTGAGAGACCTTGCATCCTTCCAATTTTGAGATTTCTTTGTTGGAGGGGAAGGGAGGGAAAGCTTCCCTCCCCTCCCCTCCTTTGGTTAGGAGGAGGGGAACCCCTCCCCTCCACTCCAAAGCCTCCCCTCTAAATTGGGGGGAAGCTCCCCTCCCCTCCCCCTCCCTTCCCTCCTCTCCCCTCACTTCCCCTCTCCTTTTCTTGAACCAAACATACCTCAAAAGTTTTCTTTGGAGGCTTGTTTGATTGTATCAAACCAACCAGTTTTGCAACAAGCATAGCACTTTCCTTAACATGGTACAAGTCTTCTGTATTATTAGTCCATACACCACTTCTGATAAAGTTCATCTCTTTCCTTAGAGGTGAACTTCTTGTGGACTTGCTTAACATTTTCCTCTCTCTATTGATAGCCTTCACGCTATCCAGGAAAAGAGAAAATTAGTGCAAGAAAACAGTAGTAACTTTTAAATATAGAAATTAAATCCGATTTAACTTTTTTTCAGGCATGTAATACTAAACTACCACAAGGCAGTGCTCCTCATATTTTCACATTTGAAATGCCTAATAAGCGATGATGCTCAGTTTGGCTAAACAATATCATGACGTGTATTCTTACATGAAATCTTCTAATCTTTCTAGCAAAAATTTCTATTCAAGCACTTCTTTTTTTAGAGGCTCGGACAAGCAAGACATTGTATTTTAGGGCTACATAAATTATCTCAACCATAATTGTTCTTACCCCTACGGCACGCCCTGTCTAGGGCCAACTAGGCATATCAAAACAACCGGCCATTTTTATTCTAATTTGAATTTGATAAGTAATTTAAATCCAATGAGTGTTAAAATTAAAACCATTGAATTTTATTAATATTTGAAAATTATCAAGATACATCTCCCTTAATAAATTTAGAATAATCATCACGATTAGAGTACCTTTCACATGTTGTTCTCTTTAAAAATTTTAAGACTTGATATTTTTTGAGTATTATATAACAAAATCTTTTACAGCCATTTAATTAAATTGAATATTTGTTATCATGCCACGTGAAATATTCGTTAAGTGAATAGACTTAAACCACTTGTTGGATCCAAATTCTTTTAGAAAATTACATTGAAGTTTCACATAAAAAAATTAATTACTACAAGGTCTATTAACAATTAAACTAAACTGTATTGACAACACAACCGGTTGTTAATATAGTTGAATTTAGTTATTAATTAATCCTGTAGTAATTATTTTCCTTGAGTGGGTCCTAATTATAATTCTCCTAATTCTTTTTATTCGTCTAGTTTCCAACCTTAGCAGATTAGTCTATTTGCTCGGAAGAAACATCAGCTTCTAATGAACTATTTAAGCAATTCAGAGTTTGACCTTAAAATGTAAAGGGTTTTAATGTAATATATGTAAACCAAAAAAAAAAACAAAAGAAAAGAAAGTCCAGGGCATACTGACCGGTCACGATAAGACTGATCTTGTTTGTGTGCACGAATCTAAGGAAAGACCACGCAAAGGATAGAAAGATAATACCTTGAATCAGGTGTTCGGCCGTCTTCTCCCAAGAACTTGTTGCGGCTGGAAAATGCATCCTTAATAAAGGACAAACGTCTGAGCTCTGCGTTCAAGTATACAGAATCTGGAAGTTCTCCCTTCAAGAGAAGTAAAAAATAGGATCGATGAACCAATGGCACGGGGCAGGTATGCCAGAATTGAACAGTAGTTTTACGCCGTAAAAAGAAAAACCAAGACACTGTTCGTGGAGGTAGCGCACACATGCATTTGCTAGATATTGGTTGCATGCAAAATGGTTATTCCAATGTTTCTTCCAAGAACCACTTAAACCTTTTCATTCTTCCGTTAAACAACATCCAGAGCCTCGGGAATTTTAACCGATATGTGTAATTTATATGCTATTATCTGAAGACAGTAACATATTTAGTTCCAGAATAGGATAGCAATGAGGTTTATATAATTTATTAACTGGATGTGCTGAGTGCTTATCACCAATATCAATACTCTTATAGCTAGCTATCAAGAAAAAGAAACATTGTATATCACGAGTACCACAACAAAGACACATCTGATTCCAGAGCATATGAACAAGGGTGTCGGTACTTACCATAAGATCATCGAAGTCCATCTTCAATGTGTTTCCTTAGATCTTGTTTTCATTGCCACAACAAAATTGAGGACGCTAGCAGTATCTTCCGCATCAGAATCCATAACAGATTCTTCTTCAACAAAAGTATCCATCTCGCTAATTCGGGAATGCTTTCTGGACGACTTTCTTTTCTTGGTAACTTCGGTTCAGAGAGCTTGTCTTCAAAGCGTGCAGAAGTTGTAGGGCATTCCTTTTCAACCCTAACTGCTGAGGCATTTGTTTCTTTTTCCAGCGTATCCAATTTTGAAGATAACACGTTTGGCTCATAAAATTTAGGTGGCTCAGATTTCTGATCCAGTTTAATGAACTGAAAAGGTGTCACCGTTTTCAGCTCCAGATTGTCGAACGGAGGAGACACTTTGCGTTCCAACTCATTGAATTGAGCACGCGATATACTTTCCTGATCGATCCCCTTTATTGAACTGAGAAGATGTAGCAGCCAAAGTTGGCCTGCAACTTTTGCTTCTACTGAATGGTACGCTTCTAGAAATAGCAAGGGGTGATTCTGCAGACCCTTTGGATTTTTCTGAGAGGCCAATAAGGCGGTCGATGGTCCTCTGAAGCTCCTGATTTTTTTGTTTTAGAGCATCAGGGCTATCATCTTCGGCAACATGGTCGAGCTTACCATCCTTCCTCCTTATGGACGATTCAGCGCCTCCATTCAATACCGGTCTCATAGGTGATTTTCCTTGTCTTCCTTCAGAAGAAGGAAAGGAACTAACATCTGTTTGGCGACAGGTTTCCACTTCTTCAATTTCAATGCATCGAACTTCGGTGCAGCTATCTGCTGATTCCGTGCTAGCTCGGCCAGCTCCTACATCCCAACCTGGATCCCAATCAGGTTGCTGAGTTACAATTCTCGCTTTAGGGGTATTGCCGTCCAAATGAACTATGGGTTCATGATTCTCACGTTGCCGTACATGGTCCTCATTGTTTAAAACCATACCAGATATCGGTCTATCGGAATTTTCAGACGGGCTTCCGGAGTTGAAGTCCTGATCAGGATGGAGATTACTGAAAACACCAGGCGACATAGGGTTTGAATCTTTATCGTTTCTTAGAAACTGATTTTTCCTTCCTGACTGAAGCAAGGTTTCAACACGAGATTGAAAGATATCACGCTGCCGTGTTAATTCTTTGATCTCTTCATGCATCTGTGTAATTTCTCATTAGAAACAAAACGCTTGTCAAACTCGGAAAATAAAATGATTTAAATAAGTGTTCTACCAAATGTGTGCTTATTTCTTTTCTTTTTCCTTCTGCATTGGCCACGGAACTTGTTTTGGGTTTTAATCGTCACTAGGCAACCCATGAAGAAAAAAATCACATAGTCCTCCAATTTATACTGCACACAAGTAGTTATTTTTTATAGGCCGCGTCCACGGTTTGCATTAATTTGTACAAACAAGTACTTTAACAAGTCAAAAACGGTGTGAGGGGGAGAAATATTCACCCGGATTTCTTGACAAAAATCCTGATTTTGCGCTTAACGCAAAGAGTGATCATTTTTAGTATGTTCTTATGGTATAATTCCCAGTGGTTGAAGTTATGTAGTGATAATTGAATTAGCACAAATGCTCAAGTTTAAAAGTCTTAAATTTCAGATCGCTATAATAAGATATCAGCCGTCCAAAACTAATTTGGACCGCTTAGATTTTAAGTTTTTAATTTATAATTTTTTTATAATTAATTACTTTTTTAAAAAAGTAACAGTTAACAAATTATTTCTATTTGAAAACCCATTTTATTGACCCTCACCTGTTTGATCAGAAGTTCTCGCTCAAGTAAAAAAGTATTGGGTGCCAAGTTTCTGAGCTTGCTCTCCATTCCGGCCAACACCTTCCGCAGTTGCTGTACCAAAACCTTGTCTGTCACTACTACATTAACCTGCGCATTGGTAGCCACTTGCTTTGCACAACCAGCGAAAAGTAGGGCATTTCTTGATTGCTCAACATGACTGCGTGCAGGATTAAAGGTGCAAATGATGGCTGTTCTGGCATGACCTCCAAGAGAGTTATGAAGGATGCGAGTTAGCTTCCATTCTCTGTAATGTATGTGTCCATTTCTTTCCTTGCTGCGTCAAATAATGAAATAAAGTTTAAACAAGCTAAAGTAATTAATGAACTGATATGGTAAAGATGAAAATGATGAAGAATCATAAAGGAAAGGCAACAAAGATTTGACATTGAAGCGGACCCAAAAAAAAAAAAACATTTTGTAAAAGAAAATGAAAAAGAAACCTAACCTAGACGGATAATAACAGGAATCAACCAAGCCGCTAAATCCCAAGTAAATGCAGAAGATGCCGCATCAACGAAAAAAGTAATTGTTCTGTAAAATAAATTGAATGAAATGGAATAAAATGTGCTCCACATATAAAGACGAAGGATTAAAATGCTTATAGTAACCAATGCCAAGTTGGCATCATTGTTTGGTATCTGTCTCGTGGCACTTCCCCACATTGGCATGTCAGTCTCTATAACCAACAAAAATAACAGTTGGTGAAGTCCACCAAGCCTCTACAAATTTAGTTTCATCGGTGTCTTAATTTGGGTTGGTAGACTCACTCAGTAATAAAGTGTGAAGTATCAGGAGGACTGGGCATTAAGAGACTTGAGCTCCAAAATAAAGCTTTTATCATGAAACTATGCTAGGGATTACTCACTAACTCAGATGCCTTGTGGGTCAAATGTTTGCAAGCGAAGTACCGATGTGCAGAAAATGTTATACCTTGCTGTTATGAGAAAAAGTAATTCTTCTTTAGTTTGGAGGCTATCACAGCCGTCTGGGAAAAATTTAGCAGTGGTTTCGGGAAAAAGGTGAAAAATGGAAACACCACTAGATTTTGGTGGGACAAATGGACCCTCTTTACCAACCTCTGATCCTTCTTACTGAGGGGAACATAGATCTGATTGATTACCAAAATGTGGTTAAAGATTTTGTCTTGGCAAATGGAGTGTGGAATTTAGTCGCATGGAACAGTTTTTTCCCATCACAAACAGTTGACCAATTAAAAGGAATCAGGACCCCGGGTAACAAGCGAGATGATATTTGGATCTAGAGACTTTCATTAGATGGATACTTTTCGGTCAAAGCTGTCTATAAGTTCCTAACTCAACCAGATGACCATCATCCTGCTAGTCTTTGGAGCCAAATCTAGAAGTAGAAAGTACTCGAAAAAGCGAAGATGTTCGTGTGATAAGAGGGCTATCCATAAACAGTGACTGTCTTTTGAGTGTAATTGTGAAGAGAGTGAATTACATATACTTCGTGAATGTAAAAAAGCCAGAGTAGTGTGGAAAGGCTTGATTGATCCTAATATGCTTTTGATTTTTTTTTTTTTTCTCTTTAAATTTGCAGGATTGGCTTTATGGAACTCCAAGCACAAGAAGACCTTTCTTGAGAAAGTGACACGTGGTGTCACATCCACTACCTGTCTATCGAAAGAGGAGATGCCCACTAGAGACCGCCGCCGCCAGATACTGTCAAAATCGATGTGGACGGATCTGTTTGGCAACAAGGACAAGTAGCTTGCGGAGCTGACTCATGGGTTTTATGAAGAATCTGGGATGCCAAGGAACAACTGCCACTAAAATTCTAGCTATTTGAACAGGTCTGGAAGTATGAAGGGGCCTGGGATTGCCTAAGATACAATTACACACCGATTCACTAGATGCTATCAATCTGCTAATGAGGGACACTCTAGATGATCGATCACCCATTGAGAAAGGATATTTTCATGATAAAGGAAATGATGCATAGTCATTGGGAGATTCAGATTCTATATTCTCCGAGACAGGCAATCAATGTGCTTATTATTTAGCTTGCGCAACTCAGGAAAGCATTCAAGGACTAAGCTTGCCCCCGGCAATACCACCTGACCTGACTGTGCCCCACTCTTTTGGGATGATAGGTTGTCAATGTCTAAAGTATATATTTTGTTTGTAGGGAAAATTTCAATAAAGACCCTTAATCATATTTATTTAAATTCAAAACTTTTAAGTTTTTAAAATTATACTACATTTTAATGTATTGATTTGATATTAAATTTTTGAGAGAAATGAAAAAATTACCCTCATTTAAATTAATATCAAAACTTCTCAGCTTTACTTGTTCATTATCTTACTTCACTTATTAATTTACTTACAGAATATTGTTAATTGCATTATTTAATTTATTTTCATTTTAAGTGTTTACATCATTTTAAGACAACTTATTAACTCCAGTTATCTATTTATCTACGAATTATTATTCATTGTCCTACTTCATTTATTCATTACCAAACTTTCATTTGATTTCATTTCAAAAAAATCAGTAAATCAAGTAAAGCAATTGACAAGTAAAGTAGGACAATTCTGATATTAATTTAAATAAAAAGTAATTTTGTTATTTTATAAAAAAATTAATATTAAATCAGTATCATTAGAATGCAATAAAATTTTAAAAATTTAGAGACTTTAAATTTAAATAGATGTCGTCGAGGAAGCTTTATAGAAATTCTCCTTTTGTGTATTTTCCGTCTCAACATGAAAGAATCTTTCTTCTTTCTATTTTCTCTGTTCTCTCTTGACCTTTCTCTTTCTGCCGTACCTGCTCATTTCTCCCACTTCTCTTTCTGCTAGTGAATTTCCAATAATTTGTCATGTGGGGCAATGATGAATCCAAAGTCCCTAGTCAGAAGGGGCCGACGCTTCAAAAATCCAATGAGAACATGCATATATGCATCAGCTATGTTATGTTCCTTGACCCTAAATTCATGGGTGTTCGTGATTGGTTCAGAAAGAAACTTGCGATATTTTTTGCTAGCAAGCATTGATTCCCCGTTGCTACAGAAGAGGTTAGTTCAGCTTTTTGTGAAATTTAGCAAGGCAAAATAAACAAATTTATAGATACACAGGTCGATGCTAATAAAGCTTGTACCTTAATTTGCGAATTACGGTCCCGAGGGTAAGTAAACTGCGACTTATGTGGCCACCTTCTCTCAATCTAGCACCAGCAGTCAACGCTTGAGAAGCTCGCTCATTTCCAGCAAGATCGACAAAATTCTGTACGACGCAATAAACTCTTTCATTATCTGGACAATTATGAATGTATAGGCTCTCGTATAGAATAATAGAAAGGTGTGAAGATCATATACCACACTAGCTACAAGAGTGCCAGAACTTCCAGCGCCAGCATAACGACCAGGAGAACTTTCGACGGCCTGCGTGTTTTCATAGTTTCGTTTTGTTTGGGGGGGGGGGGGGGGGAACAGTCCCAATCAATAGATAATATAACCATAAAGTAAATACCAATCGAATAATCTGATGAGATCTTGAGCTACTTTCGTTCATGGATGTCTCTTCTGTTGTCCTTTCAGCTGCAAAAATGCCAATAACACGCACATGGTTTTACATTTTGCTAAAGCTCACAGGAAAGCATCAAACGCAGAACAAACATAAAACTTATTAGGCATCCATACCGGCCCCAATAAAAAGGAGTTTCTGCAAGTCACTCCACTCGGTCAAAGTCTCCTCTGTAAGCTTCTCAACAATTGTTCCTTTCTGTTTGCGGTGCAAAAATTCATGATCATTCAATATTAATACTAAACTACTAAATACAGATACTCTTAACAGAACAGCAGAAAACGATGCAAAATTTACCTCTGAATCATCTAGAAGTCTAAGTGGAGCACTATCTACACTGAGAAGGTCCCTGACAGCTTCATTGTAGATCTCCATCGCAGAAAATTTCAGGACAAATTCTCTTTCTTTGTGCTGAGACACAACAATATGTTATGTTTTGCCTGCTAAGTCTATTTCTTTGCAAGTGGAAACTAAGACTAAAATTGTTTTTCTTATACCATCTTTGTGTAGTCGTATATATCCCTCACTGCATATTCAGTAATTCCAGTCATGGTGTACGTATTTCCACTGCTTGTTTGCCCGTATGCAAAAATGCTAGCTGAATTTCCATTTCATCCATGAGAAAATACGTTTAAAAGACAACATGAGAGAAGATATATCATTAGGAAGCTTAGAAGTCAGAGCTACAGAGGATTACATACAATTGATACCACTAACTACTGAGAGGGCAATTTCCTTAATCCCTTCCTCATACACCTGCTGTGTGGAGCAGTCATCCTCAAATACCTTGTCTGCCTCCAAAAAATTGGTCAAGAAAATAGAATTGAAGAAAAGGAAAATAGGTTGAGATATGCTATCGTCATTTCACACTGCCCAATTAAACTGAAATGAGAAAATGAGATACAAATTAAAGTTAGAGCCAGTGCTTCTGTTAAAGCGTAGTCCACCGTTACGTATTAATGGCATGATGCTACCAATTTTTGCAACTACAACTGCATACAACCATAAAAACACCCTTGAAAGCTATTTATTCTGATTAGAAGCACAAGGAACCTTCATTTAGTCATAAATAATTAATTCCAAACACAGATATGTGACCAAAGTTTCTAGCGAGCAACGGATCCATTGTAATTATGGCAATCACAATGAACATAAAAATGTGAGAAATAAGGTCAAGAGCTTGAAAACTGTACAAAGACTGTTCCAGACAAATTCAAATTCCTATAACAAATTTCTCGCGATAAGACGATCGTATCGTTTTTGTTGGGGGTGAGAGGAATTAAAGCAAGATAAGCAGTCTAGCGTTTTGATTACCAAATGTATAGGTATCCATTGACGAAGATCGTTCTGCTGGGCTGTTTTTAAATCTAATGGTGTTGCCATCAATGCAGTCCCATGCTGATACATCTTGCCTGGCTATTTCATTCTCGTTCAATGGCCTGATTCTGATTGCAACAAAAACTCTCTCCTCGTGGGCATTCGATCGACGTTTAAAATCCTATATTCCAAATGAAAGGGAGACAGGACACGCGACACAACGGCATTTCACATGCAACATCAAGCTGATTCATCGCAAGTTTCAATTCCGTTTGTTCAGCTTTTTCATATCTGCCCTGCATGAACCGAAGTTACAAACGTCATCTGCAAAAGAAAATCTCGAATCAGTTTAATCGTTTAACTGTGCACGATGCAGGGATGACGGGACTTTTGAAAATCAGATTTTCCCCCTTCCAGCGCGAAAGGGAAAATAAAATATCTACTGTTCTAGAAACAACTGAAATTCAAATCATAGAAGCAACCCCACTTTTCAGTCAATGGTGAAGGAAACTAATGCGCAGAGGCATACCTTTCTCGTCTCGTGGTTGCCGGAGACACAGAAAAGGGATGGAAAAGCCGTTGGACTTTCCCTCCCTTCCCCAGTTTGGATTCGCACTTTACCAGCCAAACAAAATCGCTTCATTGGGCAATAAAAGTCATGTTGACCATAAGCTGCCATATTTACGGTTTTGCCCTTCCAACAGCCTGGATGAGTAAATACTCCGTTATTCCAACGATTCATTTCGGAATGGCAATTGACAATGCTACGCTTATTTCAGTATTTCCCTTTCCCTCTTTCACCCCAAGACCGATTGAGTTTCATGGTTTTGTTCTTTTCAACAGCCATTGGTATGGACATAAGAAGGTATGTGATGGTCGAAGGGAAGGATCTTTTACATATGGTTGAAAGTTGAATTTATAATTTTTATCTATAAAGAACATTTAATTATGATTTAGGATAATCATATTATTTTAATAAAAAATTTTAATGGTCAATGCTCTACTCATTTTAAAATGCGTGTCATTTAAAATTATATATGTTATATCCCAATTGCAATTTTTGTTGGACTGCATACCAATTATATGGCCATGAAGTCCACCGGCAGTTTTTCCGGTCAAAAAAAATAAATAAATAAGTCTGATGGTATTTAATGCCTTGCACTTGAAAGAATGATTTTTTTTTTTTGTTATCATTTTTATTTTTTAAATAAATACCTGCTCCACCTATCATTGTGATGCACGACAAGGGGAGAGAAAAGGGAGAAGATAAAAGAAAATAGCATAGAAATATATAAAGAGAGAGTGAAGAGAATAGAAAAAAAATTACGATGACACGTAAAGTATTTATAAATTATTTTTATTAATATCATCAATATCAATATAAAAATATATAAAAAAATAAATATAATTTTAAATATAATTTTTAAATAAAAAATAAAAATAAATGAATAATATTATATTATTTTTTTATGTTTTCCGTCAATACACAAATCATTAGTCATGGATTATCATTCCCAAAGTTATTCCCGTTTCTCTTCCATTGTCTAGTTTTAGCCTGTTGGGTCTAATCTTTAACTCTCTCCGTTTTTTTTTTTTTTAAGTGCTTGAGGTGACTTAAATGGATTGAAACCACAATTTATCACCAACCAAAGATGAATTTGGATTAAAAAAGCCGCAAATGATGTCAGAATATACCGAGGTATGCAAGCTAAAAGTTTGATAAAATTTTGTGACTATAATGTAATACATGGTTGGATATCTTTTTATAACGGTGGGCAAAATAAAATTTATTTAGATAATTTAATTAAAAAATAAGTTTAATTATACAATAACCAAAAAAATGACATGAATTTTATATTATACATATTTGTATGACTCGTTTGATATTTTTAGAAAAAAATCTTAAACTTTAAATTACATTGTTTTAAAAATGATGGAATTAAAAATTGTAAAATAAACCTAAAATCTAGGTACAAAATTTAAATGATAAATGATGAAATATTCAATTTTAAAAGCTAAAATAAATTAATAAATTATAAAATACTATAGTACAAAATATTTTCCCTGTAAGCGTGTTAGTGCATATACATGTACATATACATATGCATATACATAAATATATACATACATACATATAATAAAACCATATCATATGGACATATATTCATTTCAGTTTCTTTTACAAGTCATTTTTACCAACGCTACCAATATTGGTGTAACAAAATATAAAGAATAAATCTATATACAATTTCAAATGTGCTCTCGTGTACAAAATTTAAAAAATAATGGCATATTTATTTTTCTCTTTCATAAAAAGATAATTTAAAAATATTTTTTAAATATTACTTAAAAAGCTACACATGACTTATGAATAGAATCAAATTAATTTTCTAAGATATGCCCTATAAATGAAACTAAATGAAGGACTAAATATCATATCTTATATATGTAATTTAGTTTTAAAATATTGCTAAAAAATTAATTAGAAATTCCATTTAACAACAAAATCAGCTTTAATATTAACATTTTCAACAAACAATTAATTGTTTCTCAACACTATCATTAAAGCTGGGAATATTTAAACCCATTTTTATAAGAATTCAAGCTTGAAAAAAATAACATTTTTTAAGGGAACTAAACTTTAAAATCTAGCCCTAACAGACCCTAAATAAAAGTTCGAGCAACACTTTTAGGCTAGTTTTATTTTCAACCTTAAAATATGAAATATTTTTAATTTTTAAAATTGAATTTAAAACTTAGAATAAATATTTATATTTTAAAATTAAAATTTCTAATTTTTTTAAAATTTTTGAACATTGTAACTTTATTTTAAAAAATATGAAATATTATAATTAAAATTTTTATTTTTTGAAAATTCAAAAAATAAAAAATTCTTGCAAATCTAACCTTAAGTTTTTTAAATAAAAGTCGAGCTTCATAAAATGATCAATTTTAGAGTAATCAAACTTATAGGCTTGAGCCCATAATGGAAAGCCCACCTGTTTCTCAACTTTAATTACCAACCAAGGGAGAAGATGATGAGTAGAAAGTAAAAGCACAGCACAATAATGTAAAGCTTAAAGCAATTTTTTCCAGCTTCAATCACAACACAACTTTTTTTAAAAGTAAGTTAAAACAAAAATTTAACAAACATGTTTCTTTTATTCTCGATAGGCTTTTGACACCCTAATTTAGATTTGGGCACCCCAAACCTCAATTAAGGTGTTATCCAAACACACCTTAATTTTTTAGGCATAGTCTTTACAAGATCACTTGTACACCTTACCTAAATTGCAAAACTCTATTCAATTAAAGCATTTCAATTTTATTCAATTTGCATTTTAACCTACATTATATTATAAATGAGCCTACTCCCTAATTTTTAAGATCAATTGGTTTGAAATAAGGGTAGAAACTAGAAAGAGCTCTTTTTTTTCTTTTTAAGTAGAAATGGTGAGCAAAAGCTTAGGGAAGAGTACAGACTAATTGAAATTAACAAACAAAGCTTAAGTAATTTATTGCTTATTAGCCAACATTGAATCCCTGCAATTCGTAGGTTCTTTTGTGATAAGAGTAAATTCACTGCTCCCAAAATGGGCATTTCTAGCTAAGAAGTCAAAAAGCTGGTTCACTTTACGTCTAGCGTAACATATAATTTCCCTACTTAACAAATGATCAAGTAGAATGGCTTTCATCAAGAGGAGAATTGCATGAGTAGTATCTGAGTACATATTCAGATGACTCTATATCTCTAACCTTGAAGCAATAGCTTGAATCTCAACTACTACACTTGACATGAATCACAATAAATGTATGAAACCCATAATCCACCTTCCATTGCTATCATGAATGGCTCCCCCGCATGTCACATGTCATTGATCATCCACTAACCCATCAACATCTAATTTGACAGTACCAATAAATAAGGGAACCCAATGGATTTAGTTTGTTCCCTCAAATTGAAATATCTTATACTAGTACGTACCCTTAAGAATAGTCTCCATTAGGTTGTGCATACATTGAAACTAGTCAAGAGTCTTAATGCTAGTGCCTTCTATGGCTTTCTTGCACTAAGTCTTTCAAAGTAGCCAACAGCCTTGACTAAAAAATTTAAACTATAGCCATTTAGCAAAGGTTCCATTGATCCATTTCGATAGGACGCTAAGAGATTACTTTTAAGCCAGCTCTGTAAATCACCATTAAAAAACACATAATACTAATTAAAGTTAAGTAAGTGTCTCTAAAAGTTTTTTGCCTCATGACAGTCTCTCAGAATATACAGGATGCTATCTTTCCCATTTTACTCCAACACACATGTATCTCTCTTAGTTAACCCTTTTCTAGCTCTTAGTAAGTTTGTAAGAAGTCTCTCATAGGAAGCCTACCAAAGGAAAAAAAATGATTCTTTTCGAGATAGGCCAATGCCATAGGCTATGCAAGAATGAGTTTGGTTAACCCTTATACTGAGAAGAGATAAGTCAACAGCTGACTTCATAAAAAAGGATCTATTTCCATATTCACATCGACAAAACATATCCGATCCCTTTCCCACTGGGACATAGACAATTAGAATCTTATTGATGACATCGCATGCTAAAAACAAGCTACATTTATTTACATCCCATTGTCCAAGAGCTATGATAAAGTTAGCCACTAGGTTAAGACCAGGTTATTTAACTAGATCAAGTTAAGACCTATAAATAGGTAGGAGCTTTCTTAACTTGCCTAAAATGTTGCAATGATCACTAATATAACAATTGAAACTAATAAGAAACAAATATTCATTAATTAGCAACATCTATCAATGATTTTGAATTTGGAGACATATTGTGCATTACCAATCTCCATAAAAACATATAACATTATTGATTTAGTAATAGCAACAAACATGTCGCTGATTTATTAATGAAAAATAGTTGTTGTTAATTAATTAGCAAACCTCTATTACTAATTTATTTAACAATTAGAAGTTTTTCCAATCATTGTCATTTTGTAATATCTCCCTTACCAAATCACACATAGCAATTAAATCCAAGGTAATCTTTAGATTAACCTAAATTAGATTATTAAGTTTGTAATTTATAGAAGTAAGGTCCTAAACTCTCATAAACTAAAACAAATCAACATCATTTATTAAACTTCTAACTAGAGTAAAATAATATTTTAAAAATATGAGATACCTTAAAGGAGTGAAAAAAATTAAAAACATGTTGAAAAACATCAAGTCCTAAAAAAGCAGGGTAGTATGTCATGGCTTGTGCACATGCACTTATGGCTATTTTACTTTGTGTCAAGTGCTGCGACGTTTTGCATGCTTTTAGACAACAAATATGCCGTTATTTGACAGCAAATTTAGGCAACTTTTAACATGTCCTATTTCTTTATCTAATATCCGAATAAGATGATTTAAGTGTTTACGAGAAGCTTATTCAATAAACTAGCTAATGACACAAGTTCTATTTTTAAATTAAGTCACACAAAGAAGCTGAATACTCAGACATATTTTTAACCATTTTCACAACACAATGGTGTCCAAAACCCCCACACATGTGTCAAAAGCTATTCATAACACTCAAACCATATTCAATGGACTTGGGACTACCTGTATAAAATACTACATGCACATATATAGTCTAGTATCAAACTTTCACTCCTCAACCCCTTTAACAATAAAATAGAAAGGGGAGATTTTTGTATTGCATTTTACAATCAACATCCACAATTAAAATCAAATCAACAACCCTACACTTGCATTAGTATTTTAGCTTTATTAAACACTTAAACAACTTATAAACAACATCTCAAGACCTAAAATACATTTCAAAAATCATAAACATCAATAAGTATAAGTGTATAAAAAATATAACCTAATTGGCAATATCCAATGCATTACACAAAATAAATAAAATCAAGAGCTTAATAATAGGAATTTCACGAATTCTTAAGCCTTTGGAGTCTTTTCCTTTTCTGCTTTAGAGGTAGAGCCCATAAAATATTGAAAGAGAAGGGTAAGCCTAGTTATTAAGTAACTAAGATACACCTACTCTCTACGGCTGTATATCAATTGATATAAACACACAAGAGTGAGTTGATTATTCAAAGATATCAAATTACAGATGACACGAGTTATGATTTCACAATTTAATTCATTTTTATATTTCGCATCTTAAATCGCAAAGTATATTACCATAAGACACATAAACAAGTGACAATAACCCAATTTATTAATTCCCTGCTCATTGCCACAATTCAGACGACTATGTGATAATGGCATATTCACTATCACAACTTGCCACAAACTCAACAACCATGCGACACATCGGATAAACACATATGCATGATTAATTCCACCTTATACCTTCTTATATCTTTTGACTGAAACTGTAAGCTATAATATCTAAGAGGGCTTCGTCCGTGTGATTGGACTACCTAAACTCACTAATTATAAGGTATGACCCATCCAAAAATCATAAAACTCACTCTTAGACCATAACTTCCCTTACTCTTAAATCTCTAAGGTGTCATATACCCTAAGCTAATCTCCTTAACAAACAGGCAAAGTTAACTAGGTTTTAATCCCTTCACAAACTATGGGACAATCCCTCAACAAATAGTAGAAGGCTTAGCCTTTATGCACCAGAAGGCAACCACAAATACCATATAGATTTTTTACTTTTCTCTCTAAGTGAACTCCCTCCAAATGAGCATGCAATATATGATACTCGCTCGTTTCACAGTTTCATTTACTTAATATCAACACATTGGGCTTTGCGGTATGACGTTTCCTAAGTGAGTATCATGTTTATTTTCACAAACTTTCTTTACTTCAATTCTCCATTTTGTAACACGATTCACATGCTCGTTTGGCCATACATGTCATAATTGCAAACTAATGTAACCACATTATCATCATAACACATACTATAAATTTCTCATTTTAGCACATAGTTATAGCTTTGAAAGTTACTTTGAATTCAACTCCACTTTTAATTTAAATAAAATTTCATACAATACCATATGGTCTATGGCATGCTTATACAATCACAATTTCAATCATACATACATGAAAATAAACACATTTTCACCTTAAAACTCAATTGACAAATAACTATCCAAGATAGCGTTCCCCTGGTTATCTCAAACATGTAAGAGGTCAAAGGTTTACCCTCAATACGTACTTCCAAGCTTGCTTTTCAAGCCTAAATATGGTGCCCGAATGATTAATTTACAATTAATCAAGTTCAAATTCATTGACATTGTCAAATACACTCTTTCAACTCTCATTTTCTACTTCTAAAATACTTAATACCTTTGCTTTTCACATTTAAACCTATCCGTTGGGTTTATTAACTCTCTTTAACTCTCAATAGTTTTATTAAACTCTCATATTGTCATTTTATTTATTACAAAGGCAAGAAGTAGCTTGAAAAGGAAAGAAAAGGGCTAACTACACTTGCCCTTGTCTAACAATAAGATCTCATATTGTCATTAATGACTCAACAACCTTCATAATTTTAGATTTAATTCTCATTTTTAGACATTAATGGTTCCCAACTATCATTAATGTCTAAACCCCATAATTTCTAAGTTCAAATACTCAAAATAACTTTCATTAACTCTATTTGAGTCAATAAGTTCAGACCTATAACTCATATGGACCGAAGTGACTTCTATTCAAACTCTATCTTTAATCCTCATGAAAATGGAAGAGAAAGGGAGGAAAGGAGTTTAAGACACCTACCTTAGGTGCTCTTTAACTCCAAAATGCTCCCAAACCTTTAATGTAGCAAGCCTTAACGGAGCAAAAAATGTGCTCTTTGTTTCCTCTATCTTTTATCTCTGTTTTTCGCATCAGTTTGTGTCTTACTTATATAGAAAGTGTATTGTGTGCTACAGCACCTGTCCCCACGCATTATGGGATGTGGTATAGAGAAGGTTGTTTTGTGTGTTCTGGCTCCATGAGCTGTGGTGTAGCACCATACATTGCGACATGTGGCATAGAAACATTCTTCCTTTGTTTTTCACCTCTTTTGATGCCCAAGTGACCCTATTTCACTTTGAAACTAAATTTATGGCTAAAATCACACTAAAAGTACTCATTGGTCCCCTCTGACCACATACTATATGATTACAACTTATTTGCATTCAACTATTTAATTATCAAGAGTTTTATTTTTGAAATGTTACACATTTTGTCCCTTGCAACCTCTCAGGTTCATGTCACCTGCCACCTTAAAGTAGATTTTATTTTTATTTTTTGCAAAGTATAAAAAATTCATTATCTCATTAATTCTAGTGAGGTGATTAAAAATAATTTATATAAGACACGAGGGAGAGTAATTCACATGAGTGCACAATATGTAATCTTTGAGTTATGGAATTAACCATAACTCAAAAGAATTGGGAAGGGTTATTGGCTTATAACCATCCACATCAAATGCTTATAACATTTAAACTTAATATGTGTACAAACAATTTTCTTGATTTTTAAAATTTGGTAAAAAAGACTTCTTTGACTTTTAAATCTGGGCAAACAATTTGTTTTTTTATTATTAACTATTTTGGTATTCCATTAGCTATATAATTTATCATTGACTAAGGACCCATTTATTTTAATTTATTTCATAAAAAATTAATTTTTTTAAAAATCCATCTATGAATTTCTATGATGTTTGTTTAAACTTTTGAAAATAATTAGAATAAAAAAATACATTTTTGATTATTTTAAAAAGTTACTTTGAGTATCTTATAAAAACAATCTAATGCAATAGATAAGAGAGAATATTTTAAAGAGGTGGAATACGCAAAGATATCATAAAATTTTAAAATAATATAATAAATTATTTTTATAAAAAATCAAGAAATAAATTATTAAATTTAAAAATAAATAACTAATAATCACTTCTTTATTATTAGAACCAAACATAAAATAATGTTTATTTTTAATAATTTAGGCCAAGCCCAACGGTCAGCCTAACCTTGCTCAAAAAAATTAGGACTCTGACCAAAAAATATTTTTTTAATGTTTGGACCTATTTGGACTGTGCCGATAGGTCCAAAAAAATTTAAACCAAGCCTAATTTAGTTTGAGCTTAGTTTGAATACTCGAATGAAAAAAATATTTTTAAAAAATATATAAAATATAATAAATTTTAATTAATTATTTAAGTTTTATGTCATTTTGTAATTAATTAATAAAATAAAAAATATTTATATTTTTATATTTTTAATTAATAAAATATCACAAAATAATATTTAAAATATATTTTAATATTAATTTTTAATTTTTCATGACCCACTTATTTTTTTAATAAAAATTTGAGGCTTGATTATCCAAGGAAATATATTTTATAATTTTTATAAAAAAAGAAAATTAATTTAAAGTAAAATATTAAATTAAAAATAATTTTAAAAATAAAATTTAGGTATGTACAAATTCTTGACTCTACTACTACATAAACATAATAAATAGAATAATATTCTTAGATAATTATTTAGTTATCTACACACCAAACTTAGTTAAAAATTTAAAATAAATTATAGTAAATATCCTCTATATATAGGAGTTAAATAATATAAAAATTAAAAAAATAATTTTAAAAAAAATAGTATTTTACTCACAATTCAATGATTTTGTTGTATATAGTATAGTGATGATTGTTTTTCTTATATTCTTAAAATAAAAGTATAATTTATCCAAAAGTTATTGAAAATTATGAACTTATCAAGTCATGATGTTAAGTTAATGGTTTAAGTATGAATGAATTGAGATCAACTTGATTATAATTAAAATATATAAAATATTTATATATAACCAAAATAAGTGCAATATTTCAACAATTAAGATATTAATTTATAAGTAAAAAAATATTTATGAATACATTATACATAATATAGCAAAACAATAACAGAGTTATTTAAGCACTAAGTTAATAAGTTATTATTTTTTTATTCTTTTAAAATTAAAATAATATTTGATACTCAATAGAGTTACTTAAATTAAATTTGGTTCAAAAATAAAGAAAAATATATTTTTTAAAAGTTTTGGATATTCAGGTTGGCTAAAATAACCTTGAAACATGAAGGTAATTAAGTTGGGTTTGACTATATGAGTTTCTTAATGAAGTTGGATGTTTTAAGCTCGATTCAAAGTGAGTCCGGTTCATTTAAATTATCAATTCTATTTTTAGGTGACCTTATCAAACTTTGAATTATACGGAAATAACCTCTTAGTTAAGTTTTTCGTAATATACAAATAAACTCTCAATTATGGACACGCAACTCAAATGTCGAAAGGTTTATACATAATTTAATATTTAATTTTTAGCACATTGGCAAACACTTGAATTTGTCGAACCGATGCTTCTGGATAAATTACAATTATATATTCGTAAGATAAGGCAAAAATAGGCATATGCTCTTTAAATAAATAAATATTAATTTTTTGATAAATAAAATTTTATTTATTTGTCAAAAACGCCGTCCTTCGCCCGTGGCGGTTTGTAGTTTGCACAAGTCGCGGTGTGAGGCTGTGAGCTACGCGCGTTTACCGCTGTGCGCCAGAAAATATCCTTCAGTTCCTTTTTGTTCCATGCGGCGAAGTTGGCGCGATCGGCTTTGAACTTTGAATAAGTTCCTTAACCACATTTTGCTTAATCGAGCAGCTATTTCAATTTCTCTTCTTCTTTTGATAACCAGGAAAATTAAACTAAATTTCCCATTAAAATCACATCACATTTTTGTTATTTTATATAGATAAAAAAACGAAAGGAAAACGAATGAAACTCCACCTGATTAGTCACTCATTGTTTGTCATTGAATGCGTATTCAAGCTTTTGAGTCATGGAAGATTCCTCAATATTGTCGCCTACACAGAAATACGCAGCGGCTGCTTTGTTTACGCTCGCGCTTAACCGGACTCAAGTTCATCAAGCTGGGAATCGGAACCACTCAATGCCTCGCAATAAAAAAACCGTACTTGAAGGCGGCGGGAAAATTGTCTGTTCAGACAACCCCGATCTTTGGATTCACGAAAAATTTTGCCTGCTCCGGCCCGTTTTAAGGTAATCACTCTGTACAAGATGCTGAAGTGCGGATCAATTTTATGTTGTAAAGTTAAGTTCCATATTCGGGGAATAAACAGGTTCCTAGGAGTGGATGATAAGGCCTTGCAAGGCCTAAAGGAAACTGCTGGTTCCTCTTCACAATTCTGGCATCATATAGGAGCTGTACGTCTTATTCGCTCTCTTTCATTTCATGCTCTGTTATGAGTCAATTGCGTTTTCTATCCCCGTGTGTGTCTGTGTATTTGTTTGTTTGTCATGTAACGCATTACTTCACTATAACTTCATGTGTTATTTTTTAAGAATGGTAGTTAATATTATTTCAGTTCTTGACATTACTGTCAGAGGAAGGTGATGGTGCCTCTCCAGAAAGATTGGATAAAGAGCTTGCTTTGACGAAAACTATTGATGCTACAGCTGCCAGCGTGGAGGGTGTTCCTGATTGTAAAGAGGGGGAATTGAAGCATCATGAGGTCAAAGCTAAAGGCCAAGACAATTTTTGCAATATTGAGGCAACGTCCCCGGTTGCTGCTGCTAGTAAGCCTCAAGAAAGCAAGGAGAACACGGCTCTGCATGTGTCCATGGAGACAGCACCGTCCACGAGACCTGAAAATGAAACTTTTTATCAGCCTATAGAGGAGGCGAATCTTATCAGCTACCCGAGGAAAATGACAGTTCTTTTTACACTTCTTTCAGCTTGTGTGGCAGAAACTGCTGAAGTTGATAAGAAATGCTCTCAGTCAAGACAGGGCTACGATGCTCGACACCGTGTTGCCCTGCGACTTCTTTCTACATGGCTTGCGGTTAACTGGATTGAAATGGTGTGTGTGCGTGTTATATATTTTCATCTCCTCCACCATCTTACCTAATATATCAGGTTATCTGTCTGCGTTCAAAAAAGCTGGAGGGATATGATGCAGATACTAACATGCATACAGCTAGGTTGTTTTATAAAAATGGCCTCTTGACAGTTTCCATTGCCAGAAGTTTACTTTTATTAGAATGTCTTGCAGGAAGCAATGGAGAAGACAGTTGTTTTTTCTATAATGGATTCAGCGAGACAAAAAGATGCAAATGTAGATGAAACTTTGACTTCGGAAAGTAACTGGGACAAATGGAAGCGTGGAGGTGTAATTGGAGCAGCTGCTGTAACTGGAGGAACCTTAATGGCTATAACCGGCGGTATGTATCTGTATATACAAGGGAAAATCACTCCAAGGCCCCTTGGAAGGATTTTAATTACCAAGAAGCCTTATGAAATGAGCAAAATACTTTCAAGTCCCAAATCTTGTGCAATTATAACTTGGCATAGGAAAATGACAAATTTGGTATGAGTTTAATATCAAGTTGTCATTTTCTTATGCCAAGTTGTAATTGCACAAAATTTTGGACTTGGTAGCTATTTGTACATTTCATGAGATTTTAAGGTAATTAAAATCCTTGTGTTGGACTTTTTAGTAATTTTCCCTATATGCAACTTACTAATATTGTTGTTTGACACAAGATTAAGATAATATCAATATCTTTGACGTTTAAATGTTGACATGAATATTTTGACAGGTTTGGCTGCCCCAGCTATTGCACAAGGGTTGGGTGCTTTGGCTCCTACCTTGGGTACTCTTGTTCCTGCCGTTGGAGGTGGAGTTGCTGCAGCGGCAACTGCCACAGGATCTGTTGCTGGCTCTGCTGCTGTTGCTGCATCATTTGGAGGTAAAAGAAACAATCATGCTTCACTTATACTGAGGTGTGGAAAGAAAATAACATCTAAAGCAAAGCAACCCTATTCATCTTTTTCTTTTTTCCTTTTTCTTTCCTACGGTTTTTGTGTCTTCTTTTCCCTCCGTGGGGGCTGTTGCTTTGAGCCTTTGACAGTTTATCATTGTATGGATAATGTTCAGTTCTTCTTTTCTGTATCAGCTGCTGGAGCTAGCCTAACTGGGAGTAAGATGGCTATGAGAATTGGAAGCCTTGAGGAATTTGAGTTAAAAGAAGTTGGAGGCAACCATCAAGGTGTAAGTTCCAAATGCTACTGTATTATACATATTCCTATAAACTGTTACGAATGAATGTCTATTTTAGTGGTATAGGGAAAAAGAGAGTTGGTACACTTGTTAGCGCTTTGTACATGCTTTGGTTGTGAATCTAACATATTTAATTAACCATTAATTACATTAAAATGGTAGTTTATAATGGAGACAAAGCCTCCTTTTTCAGTGTCTAGCAGTTGGAATCTTCATATCTGGCCTTGCATTTGAGGAGGAAGATTTCTTAAAACCTTGGGAAGGTCAAAATGACAACTTAGAGAGGTACGGAAAAGTTAACATATATTCTCCAAGAAATATAATAGTTTTGGAAAATTTTAATCTATGTAGTCTGCCAGAGGTGAAAAATGAAGTTTTATCTTTGTGTCCCTTTTTTCTAGATTTGGTCCTCTTGAGATCTTTTATGCATATCTTCTAGATAAGTAAAGTTTTGAATTGTAAGGGAAATTTAGATATGCTAATATCTGAAAAGTTAAGTAAATCCTCTTAGTCATGAAGCGTGTAGTCGTGTGTTAAGTGTGACTTGAATTGTTGAATTAGGTGGCTTGTGTGATGACACTCAACCAGATTAACTTGTGCTGGAAGACAGACCCATGTTCCACTCCTATAAATTGCAAAGTCAACATTTTGTGCATGGCCTATTGGGAATATATAGCCAACCTCATTTTTCACTGTTCTACAGCGCGCAGCAATAAGTTTCATTGCCTTTTCAAGCTATAAATAGCACGCTTGTCAAGCCTTTAGACATCAGGCAAAGCAATGCAACGGAGGAAGAGGATTGCTTTGTGAAGCTATAGTCCTAGTGTGAAGTGATCCTCTGGTTCAAAAAATTTTGAGATTTTTTTTTTGTTTCTTGGAGTATGGGTCGAGTATAGTTAAGCTGCTTCATATTCTTTTTTTTTCCCCCATAACAAGCCACGTAGTATTCTCCCCTTGTTTCCATTTGTGAAAAATTTGTTTGCTCTCTTTGTCTGTGAATGCAGACAAACTAAACCCTGTTAATTCCTTATGTCCATTATTTTAACCATTCATTGTTTAGCCTCAATAATCCTTTTATTGGGTTCTCCTTTTCCAGCATTGTCCTCCTTTTGTTGGCTGTTTACATCTTTATATCTATTTCATGAATCTAACAACCCACATCTATAATTAGGTATGTGCTTCAATGGGAGTCTAGGAATTTGATTGTGCTGAGCACTGCAATTAAGGACTGGCTTACATCACGTAATTTCATCGGACTTGTATGACCTGAGTAATGATTGAATTAATTTGACATTTTCTGACTTAAAGTAATTTTAGCTTACTGCAGAAATTGTTAAGGAAATTATGACAAAAGGTGCAATGATGACGGTATTGAGTTCACTAGTGGCAGCACTGACATGGCCAGCAACTTTAATTAGCACATTTGATCTTATAGACAACAGATGGGCAGTTGCAGTAGACAGGAAAGTTCTATCCTTTATGGCTGTAATGACTTTTCTCCGGTTTGAATAAGTCCATACTTGATGTTGTGATGGTTTTTTAATGAAGAAAAAATCTGAAGCATACAGCCAAATTTTATTTCTGGGACACAATATATGGATTCCCTGATTCTTCTATTTCTAAAGTTATATCCAATCGTAGTGCTCGCTGCTAAAAGTACTATAACGAGCAGCCACCATTCCACCGGAGCTTCTACTTCTGCTTCATACCCCATAACAAATTGATTCCTAACTTCATATTGTTTATTGAGATGCTCTTCCTTCTGAACATCAAAGATTACTAACTGTTGTGTTCACAAATTCTTAACCTAGTATTTTGCCTTTGTTCCATAAACATCTTCATGGTATCCGTTCGTGAATTATAGAGGAAAACAAAGATGATGATTTTTAGTATTTTTGGAAAAATTATGAAGGCTTAAAACTTTTTACGTTGTATTTACCTTGACTATTCTCCATACTGGAACAGATCAGACAAGGCTGGTAAGATGCTTGCTGAAGTCTTGCTACAAGGACTGCAAGGAAACCGGTAAAACCATCTTATGCTCAGAAAAGATTGATTATGACATTGTCTCATTGCATGATACAACATACTTCATAGCTTTCTATTGATGGTCCAGACCTGTGACGCTAGTTGGCTTTTCATTGGGAGCCCGCGTTATTTTCAAGTGCCTGCAATGTTTGGCTGAGTCTGAAGGTGACAATGGTAATTTAGAATCTGCTTCTCTGGCTTTCCATGTGACTGATTCGTTAATTGGATTTTATTTATAAAAATTTCATACGTACTCTGCGTATTTCTGCAGCTGGACTTGTTGAAAGGGCTGTTATCTTAGGAGCACCAATCTCAATTAAAGATGAAAATTGGGAGGCAGTTAGAAAGGCACGTGGAATCTCTCTACATCCGCTCTTTCTCTTTTATTATTGTAAATGGTTTAACTTTCTTAGAAGATATTTAATTTCTCTGTCCTGGCCCTTAACAGATGGTGGCTGGAAGGTTTGTGAACGTTTATTCTACAAATGACTGGACACTGGGAATAGCATTCCGTGCTAGGTATGGACTTCTATACGTATGGTCGCTTCCATTCGCTCCAGCTATGACGAAGATGTTGAATAGTTTTGTAGTATCTCAATATCTGAAATGACCAGAATAAATTAGTACCTGCGAGCAATATGTCCTGTAATTGTAGATTATCATGGGCTGCTGTTATTGTTTCCTGAGATGATTGATGATTTTTTGTTTGTTTCCTCTTTTGTATCTTTTATATGATTTTTATCGATTTGAAGTTTTCAACACTTATAAATTTATCGTCATCATCCTTGTTATGATTTTTGTTAGTTTGGTGGTCAATTGCTACATGTTTCTGAAATGATATGATGCATTAGCTCTGACTACTACTCCAAAGCACTTGAAAAGCGTAGGCTTTTAAAATACATATTTATATATTGAAGCAATTGCTTATGTGCAGTTTGCTTTCTCAAGGATTGGCTGGAATTCAACCTGTTGATCTTCCTGGTGTTGAGAATGTAAGCTGTTGAGTCAATGCTTTGTTACAGTTGACATTTTGTGAAAAGTTGTCTTGCCTAAATTAAAGTCCAATAGTCTGTTTTGTAGGTTGATGTGACGCAACTTATAGAGGGCCATAATTCATACCTCCGCATGACAAAGCAAATACTGGAGCAGCTTGAATTGGACAACTATTACGCTGTTTTCGGAAGTGGATATAAAATCACTCAGGAAGAGAGAGTCACTCAGCCTTGCTAATTTGTTGCTCTCTTTCCTTTGCCCTTCCTCTCATTCCCCACTTTTGCCTTCTTGCTTATATTTCTTTTCTAATGCTAGGCAGCTATGTGTTGATTAATTTGCGATTAATATAGACGGAAAAAGTGGAGTTTCAGAAGTAATGGTTGGCGGCGGGGAGAGATGGATTTGACCGAGAAACAAGGACAATAACCAAATCCACATGTTGATTTTATCCCAAAAGCTTGAGGATCTAAACTAGCGGAGCTTTCATGTATCTAACAATTTGCAGCATTCGACTTGTCTTATGAAAATTTGGCAAGATTTATGGATTTTTTTTGCATAAATTGAAAAATAAAATAAAATAAGTTGGTAGATTAGCTTATTTAATCCGCCAACCTTATATACAGCCTATATAAAAATAAGTTGAACTTAATTTAGTTCATATTTTTTTTTATTCCATGTAGATGGGATTGGCCTATATCCTCACCCAACTTTACTACTATGTTTATACTAAGTTGAATATATTTTACTACTATGTTCATACTAAGTTGAATAAAAGTATATGAAATTTAGACCAACATTTTTAGCACTTAATTGCTTAGTTGATGTAAATAGTATTTGTTTGAGAATAAACTAATGTTGTTACTTTGAAGTTAAGGTCAATTGTGAAAATAATTTGAAATGTATATTGTAAGCATTAATAGAAGGACATAAAATGTAAGAACTCTAAATTTTAAATTGAATAAATTTTTTTTCTCATAATGAATGCATTATTTAAATAAAGTTTATAATAAGTAAAAAGGGATAGTTTATAAGGATTTATGCTGAAATTTTTTTCAAGGATTCAGAATCCAAAATTTTCTTGCAAAAGTCTGGATTTAAATTATAAAAAATTTTGTGCTCTTTATGGTAAATTTTGCGTGTCTTTTGTTGTGATTTTTTTTCGTGCCCCTTCTTGTAATTTTCCCGAAAAGTTCTTATATTAGATTTACTTATTCTCGCGAATTATAAAGAAAGCAGAGCATCCCATTTTCGTTTCTTCACCGCCATTATACACTTCTCTAGACCCTCATAGTCGGTTCATGTCTCTGACTCTTGTCAACTTCTTTAGCTCGCCGTCGAATGGGTGCTTCTGTCGCTGCTGTTGCTTGATCTGCTGCCATCCTTCTCGTTCGTGTACGCTAGCCATAGTGGAGTTAGATTGCTGATTCTCTTTCCCTGTCATCGTGCTGTTCTGTGTCAGCGAGAGGTGAGTAGTGCTCTACTTTTCTTGCCACCGAGAGTTGCTAAAATTTCTGCCGTTGCTTCACCCGTTCTCCTCATGAAATTTCCGCCGCTGCTTCGTGTTTTCATGTCGTCCTCCTCTGCTCTGTGTCTGCGTGTTCGTGGGTGTGTTTGTTCTTCATTTTCCTCCCTTACAGCCTATATATATATATATATATGGGTATTATTGGTTGAGTGAGTGTTTGCTTACATATTTAAGTTAGGATGGTTTATTAGAACTTGTCACTAAATGAAATTTGGTTTGAAAGTTGAATTGGATTGGATTGAGCTCTTGGCAAATTAAAAATTTTGGAAGTAAAAAAAAAAAAGAGAAAAAGGAGGGAAAAAGAAGAAGAAGAAGAAGAATTATTGATAGAGGGCTAGGGAAACATTTATTTATGAGTCAATTACCTACAAAGTATTTGTTAAAAAAACCTAAAAGAGTAATTTGATTGCATTAAAATAGTTAATTTCTAAATAGAAGTTTAGTTATGTATGTATGTGATTGTTTGTGTTTTTAGGCAATGTGGTGCTAAGCTTGAGATGTTTAAGAGAGGAACTTGGCAAAATGCAAGTTGTTTAATTTTCATATAACTAGTTTTGAAGGAATATGCGTAAGTAGTGATTTGGTCATTAAATTGGGATCCTAAAGTACCTAGGGTATATTGTGTTAAATTAAATGATAGTTGTGGCACTTTATTAATCTTTAAGAAGGAAAACAAAAAGGGGATGGAAAATTCTTCTCTTGCTTTAGTTGAATTTATGATAAATTACTAAATTAGTTATGAATTTATTATTGTATATTTTAGGCTGTGATGTTACTTTGGGATTGAATTTGAATGTCACCAAGTGTTTAGAAATTCCTTGATAAGTAATTTTAGAATTATGATTTATTTATTAGGAATTCCATGAAATCATTCGAGATATAAGTGAGTAGTTGAAGAGGAGTAAGCTTTAGAAATTATTGAAAAACTTTCAGGTAAGTGGATAGCGTCCGAACTGATTTTTTTCAATTAAAATTTTCTTTACTAAAATATTACATTTTTTTGAAAATCATTTTAATAGCATTAATGCGATTATTGGATATTTGTTGATTAACATTGCTTTATTTTGAGAAATTAACTTTACTAAATTTGAAATGTTATTTGATCAATTAAATCAAGTTTGGACTTTGATTGTGAGATTTTTATTTTATCAAATATTGTATTGATACAGAAAATGATTCTTGTGAGTTCAACTTTGAATTTTTTTTTTTTGATTATTTGATAAAGGCAAGCATGAGCATTGGATATGAAATTTTATTCTGGAAAGTTTCAATGCTTAAAAGTATTCATGCGAGTTTGGTTTTGAGAATGAGAACTGTATCTTGAAAGTGATGATTTTCTCGCATGTTTGAAAATGGCTTTAAAAAAAAAGGGATTTTATACGGAACACTGGTTATGGTACACCTAGCTAGCGGGGTGTTTATAGGACGTGCTAGCCCCGTGCGATGGCCAACGCATGTGGAATGGAGGGATGGTTACTCGTGAGCATCATACTCACGTTTGTTTCGTGGCTTCGGCTGCGTTTAGTTATATACCCTTGTGGACTATGTATCCACGTTTGTTTTCGTGGCTTCGGCTGTGTTTGGTTAGTTACCCTCGTGGATTGTGTGTCCACGTTTGTTTTCATGGTCTCGTGGACTGTGTGTCTACGTTTGTTAATTGTTCTGATAAGTTCCTAAAATTATATATTTGATTATTTGATGATTTTATATCCCTTAGTTTTATTTAATGATGTATTTATAAATATTTATTTCATTTAAGTGCTTTCTTGGAATCAAGTCATATTAACATTTATCATGATAGTTCAATGATTTAAGATTTAAATTTAAAATTTTATAGAGTCATTCTATTTTGAAGTTTATTAAATATTTATGAAAGCTTTTCTCTCTTGAACTCACACAATTATTTTAAACTTTTCTTTTATTCATGTTTTATTTTATTGTTGGGACGTTATTCATTGAAAAATTATTATTGGTCTCAGATGCCTTAGTTGGCGCTGATTTTCCTACCAACCCCTGAGGATCTTTAGACGTGCTGGGTGGAGAATTGATTGAAATCCATCTCTTTTATATAATTATAAATGCCCATGTACTTATTTTGAAAAAGAATGGTTATATGCTCCACATAGATTATAGGTAAGATTTTATATTCACACAACACACACACGCGCACACACATATATGCTATCTGTTGACTGGAAGGAGCCAAGCTCCTGATTGATATGATAATTTGTGAACAATCTTGTACTGTTAAATTTTCAGAAGATTTTATTTATAGGGGAGGTTTTGCCAAAATTTTTATAAAAATGCTAAAGTTTTTATGTTGATGATTAATAACATGATTATTAAAATTTTAATATGGGTGTTATTATATTTTGAAAGTGGATTGAATGTTCAAATTAAGACTTACGGGGAGATGTGATGTGGTTCACACCCGTGCCGGTCACCCTCTATTTTTGGGGTATGACATAAAACATTTGCACATTGACAATGTCCATATGTCATTTAATTTTCAAAATATAAAATCTTTTTGGTTCATGTCATTATTTCTGGAAAAAAATTAGTTATTTAATTCATAATTTTCATTTAATAGTAAAAAAATGCAAAGTTAAACCATTATTAAGGTGTTGCACTTTTCATTCATTTATGTCAATGTTATTTGAATTTTATTTTAGCTTGCCATTAAAGTGATATAAGTGAAATGACAATGAAAATTCTTAACAACTATATCTATATGTGTAACGTAGAAGTTATATTTTAATTTTAATTTTAAATATGTATAAAATGACGTACAATATTTGCAGTCTTATAATTAGTATGGTTTGCTTTGTGAAAAGCTTCATTTGCAACTAATAAGCAGAGTTTTACTTTCAATAATAGTATTTATATATACAGGATAATGAAATAATTTATGGTTTTTCAAATATTTATATATACAGGAGAAAGAAATTTTAAATATAATGAAAGTAATCTCATCTTCTTTATCATTTTATATATGATCTTGCGTATCGTGTGTCCAACAGATTGGACAGGTGAAACAAATCCTCTTGACATACATAAATAAACGTACTTGGTACATGAAACATAACATTAGCATTTTGAAACTAGGTAGGTTTTATATAGAGTTCTCTTCAGTTTCTTTATCTTTGCAATAATTATATTAAAGGAAAATTAATTTTTCAGTTTTTTAACTTTTAACTCATTTCATTAACTATAATTCGCTTGTGACTTAATTCTTCAACTTTTGACTCACTTATAATTGATAATATTCGTTGAAAATCTCCTCCCATGACAAAACACTTCCCTCCAAATGTTGAATCAAGGTGCATGATTTCTCTTAATGACTTATCAAAGGCCTCAATGCATTGTCTTTTAATCATGGATGCCTCATCCGATATAATCAAGCTAGTCTTTCTAAGAGGTTGGCAAGTGGAGAGGTTTATTTGATATTGCATGTAGAATTTTCATTGATCTCAATTGAAAAGGCAAATCTTGAGTGAGCTCTTCTGTCAGAGAGTTCCAGTAATGCCACTGGATGCTATTGCAAGGATAATTTGACCCTATGATTGAATTGAAGAAATTAGTGCATTCTAAAGGAAAGTTTTTCCGGCGCCTCCATAACCAAAATGAAAAATCCACCTGATGAAGATGTGATTGATGATCATATCATGTCAAAAATATTTTTCTCTTCAGCAATTAATGATTTCAGGAGATGTTCACTTTCTTTCTTCAATGTGTCCTTGTTGAAATTTAATTCTTGCAAGATGAATTGGTTGCCAAGATCAATTGGCGTTTGAGTTGCATATCTTGGAAGGGATGGATAGTCATCTAAGCTCTTGCCATTTGCTTGGAGTGACTAATTAATTTCATTGGGAGCAACTGCAAATTTTTCTGTATCGGTGAAGCTAATATCTGTATGGTCAAAACATAATGCAACCATGAATTGTTATTCAATAAACAAATCTGGAATCCAAAGCTATGTATTATGAATGAAGAGAGGTGGAAAAAGATCAATATTGGCAGTAATTAAAATGTGGAAGAGAAAGTATTGTTTCACATGGGATTTTCTAGAGTGAACAAACCTGTCGTATCTTGATTGTTGTGTGGAATGTAATACGTGCCTTTGCAGAGAAGTACTGCTGATTTTTGCCATACATTATCAGGATCAGATAGGTAATAGCATAAAAGCATACTAACAAAGAATTTCCTCAAATAAGTTCCAAATGCCCATTGTTCATCTTCTTTAATTGCATCAATAAATTCGTTGTCATTATCAAGCAATCCCATGGCATAGCAATCAGCTTTGAAGGTGGGGTAGACTATATTATCAACAGTTTTAATGTCATCAAAGGAAATCAAACCTTTTACCCTAGTTTAAAGAACTCAAAGGTAGTAAAATTCCCACAAAGAAGGAGCCGCATGAGTCATCCTACCGATTGCAAATCCACGTTTTCTTTCCGTCCATTCCTTTTTCTTTTTGTCAAAGACATAGTTATGTGAAAATTCAATGTAAGTCAATGTCTTTGCATACTTATCTTTTTTGTTGCACTACACCCAAGCTAGCAATTGTGATTCTTTGACTTGTGGCTTGTTTAGGATGCTCCTTGCCTTTTGATTGCCATTGTACATGACTGTTTGCTCAATAGGCAAATGGAAGCTCAACTCTTCAATTGATGCATATCAGTGATAAATTTCAAATTCAAAAATTGGCCATGCGACTTCACATAAGGAAACATACTTGAAATCATAGTAATGCATTATTTCATCAAAGACTGAATGAGGGTTGACGGATTTATTGTTGTTATAGATCCCTGAAATTACTTTGTCACTGCCGTTGCTTATGTATTTGAAAAGATACTTGATAGAAGTTGATTGATTGGTCTTCTCAACATTTATATGTGCTTGAGAGAGCTCAAGCAATTGTGGATTGTATGGAACAACATAATGGTCGTCAAGGGGAACCCTTTCTTTTCAATGTTTTGTCGGTATTTTGTCTCCTATATGTAGGAAATCCATTCTCGTCAATAATTGTCTTGTTAGAGTATTTTTTTTTTTTTAGAAGTATTTGCTGCATTTGGCTTTTTTCATGCAAGGAGATTTTGGATTGCTATGGACTCACGGACCATGGATCATGAAAGAAGAAACTAAAATGGACTCACGGACCATGGATCATGAAAGAAGAAACTAAAATGGACTCACGGACCATGGATCATGAAAGAAGAAACTAAGTCATAGAGAAGACGAGACTCGTCCTTGTCTAGAATTTTCACAGAGATTATCTTGTCAAGTTGTTTTTCATTTTAGATTTTATCTGGAGGCTCTAAGAACAAAAAAATATGTGCATGTAGTAGGCCTCATTTTTGGAATTCTATAGTATATATCTATGCAAAAATTAAATAAAGTAAATGTTCATGTACTTAACATGGCTTTGAGAAATAAAGTTATTAATAAATATGAATTGTATAGTTAATTTGTAAGTTACTTACTTTAACTGCTCCAAAAAATTTTGCTTCCTTGATGACTCTAAGAAGAGCTTTTAGTTTCATCTTGAAAATCCTGCACAAGACATCTGGTTTGTTTGCTTCCTTGATGACTCTAACAAGAGCTTTTAGTTTCATCTTGAAAATCTTGCACAAGACATCTGGTTTGTCTAATGGATGCAATTAATGCACTTTACAAAATTGTTGAATTTGTTGCCAAGCTAGGTTACAAGTGAAAGTGATAAAGAGGTCAGGATATCCCACCCAACAACATATGGCCATTACATCTTGATAGTTTTGGATCATATATCAAGCACCTCCAGTAAATGATGGAGGCAAGATGACTCGATTCCAATGCTTGGGGCATTTGTCTCTCCTCTAAGCAATGCATCAGATAGACCTTGGTAAAGATCAACATGAAGTTCTTGCTAGTCCATGTTTATGTAATCAATCCTTTGTGATTCCATCATTGTAAATCTATCCACAGTAAATTGTTGGAGAAGTCACTTTGCATGAAGTAATGTTGACACTTCAGTCGGTCTTGTCATTAATCTATATGCTAGATATTCTCGGATTGTGACAGTCTTCACTTTGTCTGGTCTTTTTTTGCTTCGCTAGTTGTGCTTAATGGTTGAGTCATAGCCACCAGAACTGAACCGGAAGAGAGGAGGATATTGCAATGGTAAGTATGAGTAATGTACCTTGTCCTATTCTTTGAAGTGTTGCCGATGACTTCTCAACAGTGATGCCTCTTTTATTGTATGAATTGTCAAAATCTCCAAGAATTAGTGCTGCAACTTCTGATATTGAAGGCATGTTGTATGTTCATTGATCTTTTGATGTATTTTTAATTTAGCATTATCGAAGTTCTATTTCTGGATGTGATTGAAGTAGTTGAATGCTTGCCTGTACTCTTGAACATAGGTGTTATTTGCATCTAGGCAGATTTCAGCAACTGCACAAGTCCAGTCCTAATTGTAGAATCTTTTTGATGTTGGCTGCAATGATCAAGTAGTTTGATTAAATTATTACAGCGCAATGAAGATATGCTTTACAGGGAGCAAAATGATAATAGAAGCTGTGTACCTTACAACTAAGATGAGGTTGTTGATTTCATTGTCGGTGTCATGGATATAGAGTTGAGAGTACATAGGTTTAGAGCCTTCTGGTGGGAGTAAGCTTCCAATTCTATGATAGTTTTGACCATATAGAACAAAAGCATACAGTCCAGCACTAGAATTAATGAAATGGTGAATTTTGCCTCTCGTTGATGTGAATGAGAACATATTGTTAAATGATCGAATATTTGTAAGAAAGTTTTTTTATTGGGAGGAAGGTTTGTTGAAGAAAAGATTTGAATTCTGGTGGAGGTTTTATTGGTGGCAGTTTAATTTTAACATGACAGCAACAAATGGAAAAAACAGGATCTGTTGGTGATCCTGTTCGTTTTGTTCTTTCATTTAGCCACAGGAAAACTCCATAGTAGTTGCATTGGTATGTGGAATCTCCATCATCAATATAACCTAAAGAAGATATATGTCATAGAATGAGTAAGTAGAAGAAGTGCAAATACGATGTAATCAGGATATGAAAATAGAGATACAGAAGGATTTGGTGTTGAGATTTGTGACCTGTGAGAATTGATGTAGTTTCAGGTAAATTTTGTTCACAGTCACTGTTATAATCACTTATTGGGTCATCTTCACTTAAATCATTTCTGATGTGTTCTATACAGAATGAGATGAATTTTGGCCAATGAATGCAAGATATAAAGTGAATTTGTTATAGATGGTTGAATAAAAATAACTGAATGCAAGAGCTGTAACAAATGGAGCGTAAATTGACAGCACAAAGGTTGTATGAAAGAACCTGCCAATATAGCCGAGTCAGAGAATGTTTTTGAACTTGTCAGTGAGGTGGTATTATTCTGTTGCGCCACTTGTTTGTTTGGCTGTGCATTGTACTGTTGAGATGATTGCACTTGTACTTGAGACACTTGGAAATTTTCTCTATCAGAAATACATGAATTTTTGTCTTTTTTGCTCTTCTTGAAAGCTATATGAGCATTCTCGTTCATGTAATGCAGTTTCTTATTGTTACAGAAATAAAGAACTTATCAGAGTTCAATGAAGATTAAGATATGGAGGTTAGACCTATTAAAAGTACTAGATTTCATAATCTGGAGCAACAGCACAACCAGAAAACAAACTTGCCAGGTTAGACAGCATTACAAGTAACCGCACTACATGGAGGGATGGTCTTCTTTTTCCTGTTAATATTTAATATGAGATTATAATGATAGTAGAACATTAGTTAAATGGGTCATGTTGTACCTTGATTGTTGGTGATATCTTGCAATAGTAACTGCTGATGTATTGATTCCAGTAATTTTGTAGGTGGAGTATTTTCAAGTTACTAGTATCTCTTGCTATTGACTCTTTTGTCGTTGGATTGGTGTAGTATGAACCATTAAGTTGAGGCTACAAGTCAGAAAACAATTGTTAGCTATCTGTGAAGAAATAAAGTTCAATTAGAATATTGAGGTTGAGGAAAGATAAATCACCTCTTGTACAGAAGTTATGATGGTCTGCGAACTACGTGCTGTAGAAAGGGAAGAATAAAATTGGAGCAAATGGTATGACAGTTAATTAGCGTTGGATATATGTTTTTGCAATAAAAGCTGAGCCAAGGGAATGCAATGCTTTGGAAAAAATGATAAAAGATTTGATACTCACTGCAAGATTTTTGGTGTCTATTATACTATTAATTCTGTACAATTAGTAAATTAATAATAATAATAATATTTTAACAGTGTAAAATATACATTTTACCGATGTAAAAGTGCAATTCTAGCATTTATTTGTGTGCAAAGAGAAGTGACATGATTATATGGCATCTGGATTGAAGTGAAGAATGACTACTGTCCTATATCAGTAATAGTGAAAGGACAAAAATCATGGGGAAAAAGTGATCCATTGATTCTGTTAATTTTCTCATGCATGGGCTTTTGAGATGGTTGTGTTTGTTGTCCTTGCATTGAAATAAAAAATGAGTTAGATTTGAAGTTGAGCATTTTACAGCGCTTAATATATGTTGGAGCTGGGAAATAATACTGGAAGTGTAATGTTTACAAAAAAGGTACCAAGAATTAATGGAAAGAAACTTTCTTTATTTTTGATTTAAACAAAATCCAAACTGGAAAGTGCAATTCATTAATTTGGGAGTATTTTCACCATTAATCCGAACTCCTACTATATATAATGATTATTATCAATGATAGCCTCACAGATATCATGAGATATTTTTAATATATTTATTTAACATGATTACATATCCTGACTTGAATATGAGACCCATGATAAACTAGTTTAATTTCCTCAACTAGTTAAACTAAGACTAAGTCCTTTTTTTCCAAAAAAAGTGGTGCGTGTATTAAAAAAATATAATCCCGTCCAGTGCTGTAATTTGTATGAGAAGAAATGAGCTTTATATGTTGTATCAAAAAAAAAAAAAAGGGCTTTATATGCAAATACAATTCAAGTGTTTTTAAGGATTTTCTAAAATTGGAAATTGCCAAAGAATAGATGAATATGATAATATATATTGTATACAACATATCTGGTTAAAAGATAAATTCTATTATATATAATATAAAATTTATTAAAAATTGCACCATTACTGTAGTCGTAAGTCATAAACAGTAAGAGCTACCTTAACTACTATAAATAACAGGAGCCATGTTAAAATAGGATTTGACGTGGACGGTTTGTGGGAGGCATGATGGGGGACGGGTAAATTACAGCAATTCTGGACGATATAAATTTGCAGCAACCGCTTTGCCCCACCACTTTCTTGTACGCCTCTTGCTTCTTGTGATATACGCTCTTTGAAGTCGTAGGCTTAAAGGCCAAGCCACAGTAATTCAGAGGGCACCTTTTATTATTTGCTGGGTTTGGATGTATACCGGGTTTGGAAGCGTGACCAACCATGCAGCAATCAACCACCTTTCCGCTGGTTGTAACGCATGAACATGATGATGATAAGTCATTATTAGGTCTCCATCCTCTGCAATGCATTGGTTGAATTTGTTCACTGCAGGCATGCGTATGTGCATTTAATAAGCTATTGCTTTTAGGCATGTTCCGGTGATATCTTCTGCCAAAGAGCTAATATATAGATGTCACTTGAAACGGCGCTTGTGAGAAACTGTGAAACTTCTTTGCAATGGAAAAGAAAATTGGTATTTGGTTATGGCAACTTTTTCCTATAAGCAAATTTGAAATGATCACTAATGTTTGTCTGGTCAAAAAAGATAGAGTTTAGTTAACCATGATTCCTTTGTACCTTTTTAAGTTGCAAGAATCTATCGCGGGACATTAGAAAATCTGGATTGCAATTGAAAGCAGATTTTGGCATCATCAAAACCTTACTATCTAATGCAAGCACGCTTATCCTAAAGCCGAAGCCAACAGCAAATTCGCCAGGGCCGTCCTATTTTAATACAAGCTACTGTTAAAACCGTGCAAATTAAAGAAAATGAGATTAGGACATAGTCAGCAAGCAAAAGATATCTACACTCTAAGGGTGGGTAGATAAAAATCCTAGTATTCAAGTCCTTGTAGTTTGCTTAATGGACAAGCTAGTCTGCAACAGTGTTCACTTCGCTCTAAAGGCATGGTCTAGGATTACAATCTAGTTGTGCATGATATTCCTTGATTTTACAGATTTGGTTGATAAGTGGGTGGTTTTGATGAAAATAATCGCTACTAACAAGAGTGATGGCTTTAATAGAATCCCCGTAAATGAACATTAACATTCGAGTGCTTTTCCTTCCAGCAAAAGACCACTATAAATTGCTTTACTAATTAATTATCCAACATCCAGCAGCCTGCAAAAGCTAGTCTAATATGCATCTGATTTGTAAAATTAAGTAGACTAAAAATATATATTACAAGAAATACGCAAAATATTATTAACATCATCATTAGTAAATACACTTGATATGACCTATACAATTTAACACGTGAATTTATGGGCATATTTGTACATCAAACTAGGTATGAAGGCTGCGTAGCCGATGACATTGAAGGAAGGGCCCAAATTAGATATTCATGGTTTTATAGATTGAATATATTAACACTGATATATGTTGATGATTTAATATTCTGGTCCGGCGGGGAGTCATGGAGGGCGAGTGGGCAAGGTTTGAGGGCCACGGGGTGAAGTGGGGACAAAGTGAGATGTAAGGCACATACTCGCCCGGCTACATCCCACGCGGTGGGGACTCACAACTCTTGGCTGTTGGCGGCCCATCACAGTCACATTCACGTACGAGTAATTATATTTAAGCATGTAAGGCGAGCGCGTCCCTGTACAAGAGCGTACTGAGAGACATGGAGAGGTTGAGAATATTTCAGCTCCTTCACTTCATGCTTGCCATATCACTCATGGCACTTAAAGGCGACGACGAGCTGAACAATCTCAGCAGTGTTTCTACTCACGTCAACAACACTACTTCCGTAACCCAGCCATTGACAAAGGCAGGGGAGAACTCAACAGCTCCAACGGCAAAGCTGATGTGTTTAATACAAGTAAAGATCGCTGGCACTACGGCGGAGGAGGAGGAGGAGGAGGAGGAGGAGGAGGCGGCGGCGGAAGTTTTAGATGGGGATGGGGCGGTGGCGGGGGAGGAGGAGGAGGTGGAGGAGGCGGGGGCGGGGGATGGGGATGGGGCGGAGGGGGAGGGGGAGGAGGGGTGTGGAAATGGGGATGTGGAGGGAGAGGGAGAGGGAGAGCGGTGGGGAGGGGAGAGTACAGGGTGGGGGAATATGCAGAATGCAGCAAGGGAAGAACGAGGTGCCGAGGCATGAGGCTGGACTGTCCCCTCCACTGCGGCGGACCTTGTTTTTACGACTGCCTCTACATGTGCAAGGCTCATTGTCGCCGACCATGATGACTCCTTCCTCTCTTTCACCTTGTCATTGCTCCGTCAGTATTTCGTTATTATCTGCTTGCTTACTTAGTCGACATTAATGGATGGAATGGGCAATAGGGTCTCAGTCTGATGATGATGTGTGAACTTCCACCCCGAATGAATGTTGTAGCACTGGGAGAGAAGTATCCCGCAAGAGAAACGGAGAAGGATGTGGAGGAACACTGGAGAGGTCCCCTGCCAACAGCACGTGAGTCCCTCATCTCCTCACGTGTCTGGTGTCGCCTTCTAATTTGTTTAGTTTGAAATGCATGACCGTGCGGAATCTTCTCTCTGCTTTGTCAGTTTCACTTTGTAATAGTATTTGATTTCAATGGAATCAGTTTCACTTCCCTAGACGTGACGTTGTAATTGTTAATATATACACGGGGACGGAGGCACAAAATTTAATTAGAAAGCCATACTGAGAAAGCATATACAATAATAAAAAAAATTATATATATTATTGATATAACATAAATATTTTAATCTATGTATTTATATTTAATTTTATGAATATATAATAAAAATAAATATACAATTTTATTTTTTAAGTTTTGCTTATCAATTTTTTATGGCATAAGAATAATTAATTATATGTCATGTTTACAATAAAATTTTTAACAATTTTTTTCTCAATATAAATTACCATTAAATTGGCAAAGATTTCACCTTCCTCATAAGTATTGAATAATTTAAATGTATCCTTAAGATCTAAAATTTTGTTCAATCTAAAAGCCTCTATTATTTACTTACTGAATTTACTATTTAATTCTTTCAATTGATAATTGTAGTAAATAAATATATCAACATAGTAATGATGCTCAATTGTCACAAATTCTTTATGTTAATAAAATCTAAGTATATCATAATAAAAACCATTCAGATAATAAATTTTAATAGTTTGGTTATTATAGAAAAATAATTTTTTTTAAAAGACTATATCTTAACCATAATCTCTTAATTTTTGGATAAGTAATTTTTATGGTAAATGTCAAGCACATAGCATTTAATTTAACTTGGAATTTTTGTTGCGTAGCTTGACAAAATCGTTTGTAATAACTCTTTTAATTTCTTTCATAAAAAATAAAATGAAACCAAAATCAAATGACATCAATGATTTAAGGACAAGTTTAGCATTATCTTGTTAAAAATAAACAAATCTTATGACAACTATATTTTCAAGCAATTAAAATAGTTGGACTATACATAAAAGATCATGTATATAATTGAAATGAAAATTCTATCAATGTCTCAAAACTTAAATAATGTGCTTACTTAAGGAATTGAAAATATATAACTCCACTATTGCGGGAAGAACGTTAGTTGTTGAACTGATGTAAAAAAGGATTTTTCACATTGATTCTTTTGAAACCAACATGGAAAGAGATAACAAAATAAAAATAATTTTTTTAAAAAAATAAAGTTATAACATCAGTAATTTGAAAAACCTTTGTGAAAACTTTTTTACAACGGTTATTGAAAAAATTATTGTTAAAAGTGATTTTTTACAATAGTTTTTTATATTTAACTGTTTTAAAAAAAATTTCACAATAACCATTGTTAAATGTTTTTTAAAAATTATTTATTTTTCTATATATCCAGACTTAAAGCCTACAAATTGTATAGATTATATGAAAAGTATAAATAGCCAACCAGTAGAATCACAATAACTATGTTACAACTACACTTGATATATATTTAGAACTATACTATATATTTGTTCAACTACTAAAAAATTATAAATTTTTATTCAACCTCTTCACTATAAAAAGTATTCTTGAAAAAATTGTTGAGCTAAAATATCTCAAATGCTGTCAATCTCTTTTTTGTTATAGGGCTCCATATTATCAAAAATCTATATAATAAAATTAATCAAAAAATAATTTAAGAAATTAAATACCAAAAAAATGTAAACTAAAATAGTAAAACTAAATACCTCTTGTAATCTTTCAATACTTTCAACTTGAATTATTTCATACACATAACAGATAATGTAATATCCACATTCTATTTATCTTTTCTATTTGTTATAATTTAAAAAAAAATTGGTAGAGTCTCCTATAAAATTATGACATTCCAAAATATCAACAATCACAAAATTTATCAATGTCAAAGTTTAGATAGCAAAAATCACAGCATTAAATATATAATAAATGTTCTACTCATAATCATTAATTAAAAAAAATTATGCAACAACAAAGATGACAAATTGAAATATAAAACAACTTCTAATCTATTATAAATTTTAGAAATAAATAAAAAATTAATAAAAGACACAATCAAACTTACTTGGAATAGGAGAGAAAATAGGAAACTTTGAAACCCAAAAACACCAACAATGAAAGAGGAGGAGGGAAGAAGAAATCTACTACTGTATCATTGAAAGGAAGAAGAAAATGTTCCAAAAAAGAATTAAGAAATAATGGAGGAGGAAGAAGGAACAAGAAAGGAGCAAAAAAATCACATACACTTAAGAAGAAAGACAAATGGTGGACAACAGATGGCAACAGAAGCAACAGACGGTGGGAGTCAGGCAGTTGGTGGCGAACGACGGATGGCTAGCAGCGAAAACCCAAGAGGCTATCAATTTTTGAAAAGGTGTTTTGAAATTTCAGAGAGAATGGAAGCAAACTATTTAGGAAAATGAAAATGGGAAAGCTGCTATGCGTGAAATAGCCTTATGTAAAATCTTCAAGTTAGACCAATAAGGTTACCCTTACTAATCATCTTTAATCTCCAAACATTAATGTAATTATCAATTTGTCAAATTACACAAATGAGACCCTAAGTTTTTAATATTTAAAACATCCTAAAAGATCTTTACAAAATAAAAATCAAGAGTTTGATCAATATGTAGAAGCAAGGGATCTAAAAAAGGAATCAAGGCATTTGTTGAAAAGTTAAAAATAGTAAATTAGTCCAGAAAAGAGGCAGGCATCGGGGCTTGACACACATGCATCGTGGCTTATGTGCCTTTGTGCCATATATCTCGACTCAAGCACCCTACGCCCCGATGCATTGCATAATTTTGATGGCAATGTTACTATCAAATGATAATAATTGGGGCGAACTTCTAACACTTCTCATTCCTTTGTTTGACGTTCAATTGAGGCGATCTAGGTGCCTACAGAGAATTTTTTCCTAACTTTAACTAATGGTTTTAGTTTCACAATCAAATTATTATTCAATCAAAAGTTAGACACTCATTTTAAAATTCACTTCTTCTCATAATTTTTACATAACTTGAGTGCTAAAAACTCACTCCAAAAGCCATAAGCTACAAACACAGCCCAAGTCATACTCAATGGACTAAAATGAAATTGTGCAATATACTACATCACTAATATGCCATATATAATATATTTTTATTGCTCAATCCCTTAATCACCAAAAATAAAAGGGGGAGCATCTAATCACCCAATCCATCAATTAATTGTCATAAATCAAGTGCCATATACAACCCTCATTTGCATTAATATTTTAGCCTTATTATAGATTTTACAATTAGTATATATACACCATAAGGCCTAAAATACACAGCATAGTTTAATAAAACACATAGTCCAAGTAAGACACAACATGAACTTTCCCTAGTTAGCAACATCATTTGAATCGTACACATCAAAAATCAAAGTAAATGAAGCCTATTAATTTTAAGATCACAGTCCTATGCCTCAGTTTGTTTTCCTCATTCGTGTCCTGATGAGCTAGTTCTTGTAATATTGAAAATGATAGGGTAAGTACAACCATTTAATAACTAAGATCTATCTAACTTATACTAATGCATGTTAATAAATTTAAATGCAAGTAGCAATAATATCAATTTCAAATCATTTAAAATGATTAAGAGCACAAATTCAGAATTCTCATTCATAATAATACATGCTCATGAGATAATGAACAAGTAATACAATTTCATCTGCAATTAAGACTAATCACTTAATTTGTTTTACTAGGGTCACAATATAGAAAATCATGTATCCCTTTATCACTACATGCATGATTACACCTCCCTTATATTCTCTTTATACCTCTGACACGAAACCATAGACTATAACACATTAGGATTATTTAAAAACTAAGACTATCCTAGCCAAAACATATGTGAGAGGTTACTTAACTAAGGTTGCCCAACTCACTAATGGGTCACAGTTTTTTTCATTTCTCACATTGTGAGGTGTTATTCTCCCTAAACTAGCTTTTTCATTAAACAATTGGAAAAAAACTAGTTAGGTTCAAGTCTCTTATTGAACCAGTAGGATAGTCTTTCATTAAACAAGTAGGATGATAAATACGATAAACTCAAGCAAACCATTGAGCTCTAATGGAAGCCTCACTATGTGAATTTAATTCTCTACTCCTCTTTCTAGGAGAACTCTCACCTTTTAAGATCATGCAATGTATAACAATATAACATTTCAAGACATGCAATTACTTAATGTTTAGGCATGTAATTACTCATCAAACTCCTCAACTATAAATTTCATTGAACTCCACAAATATCATTTCATTGAGCTTTAGAAAACTATTTCATTAACCATTCACATATCAAGTCATTGAATTTTACTTAGCACATAATCATTGAACTTCCTATCAAATCATATCATTGAACTCCAAAGAAATTATGTCATAGTACTTCAATAATAATGTTTCATAGAATTTTACATATACCATATCATTGAACTTTACAAAATCATTATAGTAAATTTTTCAAGTAATTCATGCCACACTTGCATTTCATTCAATCACACATTTAAATTATCAAATATAAATTAATAAATCAATTAACACATAAAAGCATAAAAAATAATTCCCTCCGTTACCTTAAACTTTTAAGAGGTCAAAGATTTTATCCCTCAAACACACTCTCCTAAAGCTTTTACAAAGCTTGAATGGTGCCAAATATGCTCACTCTACAATTAATCACAATATAATTAATCAATATTCCTTTTTTACACAATTTTCACTATGAAATCAAACACTTCTTTACTCCTAAGTTCAATTTTTTCACATACAAGGGTACCTATAGGATTTATGAACTTCCTGTAACTTCTATTAACCTCATTGGACTCTTAAGTAACCATTAATTGAGCCACATTACTCTAATCGCACCATTAATCATGTATTTTTGTTCATTTATGGTTTTCAGCCACCAAAAACACATGGAATCATAAGTGCTAGGTTTAAATAGCTCAATTAACTTTCATTAACTCTATTTAAGTAAATAGATTCAAAAATATAGTCTCTATATATCAAAAATCTTTTTTTTCAACTAAACTCTAACTTCACAACTAGAGAAAATGGAATAGAAAGGGAATAAGTGAGCTTAGAAATCTTATCTCAGGTGTATAAAAGCTTTAATATAATCTAAATGTTTGAATTCTCCAAGCCCTAGCAAAGTTCCTCATGCTTCTCTTCATTTTTCTCCCTTCTTTCTCTATTTCATGAGCTACAAAATACTCTTATTTCTGCAAAAAAGTGACCTTACGCCATGGTGTGTGGCATAGAGAAGTTTTGCTTAGGCTCATTAGCACACATGTGCCATAGCAGATGAGCTACATGTTGCAGCGTATGGCACAATACTTCCTCCTTTAAATTTTCTCCCTTTTTCACATTCAGGTGACCCGATTTCAATTTGGGCTTGCATTTAAGACTGAAATTACAACTAAATATGCCCATTAGAGTCTCTAGCCACACGCCACATCAATAAACTTAATTATCCTAATCAAGCTTAATTAATCATGTTTAAATTTTGAGGATGTTATACTTTATGTAGAGGATTTAACGTCAGTTATTAGAATAACTAATGTTAAATCACCTTTCCACATCGATTCTCCTATAAACTAACATGGAAAGTTTAGAGAAAAATTATTTTAAAAAATCAAAACCTTCCACATCGTTTTAAACTACAACTGACATATAAAGTTTTACATTTTTTTTAAAATAACCTTCCACATTAGTTTGACTTACAACCTATTGGATAAGGTTGGCACCTAAAAGGGATGAATTAGGTGACACTTAATTTTTTGAGATTTTAAAGATGAGTAGAAGAAGATGATAAAAGATTCAAAAAGAAAAAACTTTGACACCAAGGATTTATCCTAGTTCAACCAAAAACTTGACCTATGTTTAGTCTTCAAGATCACTCTTGAGATTTTTAAATATAATCATAAGCTTAAGTAGATACTTGAAACATCAGTACAACTTTCAAGACTTGACTAGTCTTGTTTTAACAATAATATTTGCTACAATTAGTAAGTTATTACAACTCACTTGAAAAATCTCTTTTCAAGATTTTAATTTGATTGAAATGAAAAATTCTCTCAAGAATTAACTCTCTAAAAAGAGTATATTGAATGTAGTGAAGATTTAAGAACTTATGAGAGTTTTTTTAAAAAATATGTCAAAAGTTGTTGTATAAATGAATGTAAGACCTTTAAGGCACAAATAGAATGTTTTACAGAATGTTCAAACCTAGTATACCTCACTTAATCATCAAAATTCTAGTTTTAAGATTGAATTGTATTATATATATAGTTTGGCAATGTTCAAACCATTGGAACAATAAATGTAGTCGTTGGTAACATTTCATGTGTGAAACTAAAAGATTCATGAATGAAATAAAGCCTAGGCAAGTTTCGATCAGAGGCATATATGATGAATCAAGCATGGAACATAGGATAACTCAAGCGTGATTTGTTAGTTGCAAGAATCAAACTATTTTATAAGACAAATCAAGCATGGATCCTACCAATACTCATGTTGAAATGGTTAACAGAATGCCAAGGCCATTTTAGATGATAAATCATGCGTGGAACATTCTTCTATTCATACGTGATATGGTTATCAGAGAACTTAAACCATTCTGTGAAATAGATCACATGTGGAACCAATGTGCATTTAAACATAAAGGCATGATTAAAAAACCTAGTTCCTATAAGTGACAAATCATATTTGAACTTGTTACAAAACATGCTTGAATTGGCTTTAGGGTCTTTTAAGCCAGAATTGTATTTAAGTGAATAAGTGACAAATCAAGCATGAAAATTCTCCTTTCAAGCATGAAATATCATTGCTGTAAATGCAATCTAATACAATGTGACAATTTAGGAGTGAGTATAAAGATCTTTCAAGCATGAATTAGAGTATAGAAGCTTTATCAAGACTTCTCACAGGCATAGGTGACAAATCACATGTGAACCACTTCTGATTCAAGCGCGAAAAGTCATGCAATGTGTCCAAATTGAAAAATCAAGCATCAATCAATCATGATTCAAGCTTGAAATATCATGCTATACAATGATCAACTTCTATGATCCAATTTAAGCAAGACTCATATCGGATCAAGCTTAAAATGATCATTTAAATATAAATGCACTCTAAATAAATGACAATTAAGATTAATGGACTTATGAGCCTAAAGATGATGCATTCACTTTTGAATTAATGATATGTGATTAAGCCCTCATAGTTTTCATATTGAATCTAAGAGAAATAAATAACTAAACCTATGAGTCTTCTTTTTTTTTTATTCTTCAAGTTCTTTGAGGTTTTGTCACATTGATACATCTTGATAATATCTGCAAAAGTAACACACACATCTTTTTTTTATTTTGTAATTATCAAAACACATGATTCAATGCAACCGACATGAAAAAGGATAATTTTTTAAAATTAAAATTATTTATATAATGGGTTATAGTCCAAACTGACATGGTAAGTATTTATTTGAAAAAAAATTAATAATTAATTTACCATGTCAGTCTATATAACAATCGATGTGGTGCATTCCTTTAATGTCGATTGTTGTTGTAACTGACGTTAAACGATTTGCCTTTAATTACTTTCATGCCACTATTTCTTTTTACAATGATTTTTTCCATGACTGACATTAAAAGGTGACATAAATAGCTATTTTTTAAGCAATATCCTTACATTTTATTGAGAAAAAAATAAAAAATTAGAGTGTTGTTGCCCCTACTGGTCTCCTTGTCTCCACCCCTGTTTATACCTTGCTCTCTTAGCTTTGTGTGTGTGTGTCCAAGTGTCTTTGCCTTCCCTTCCCGGCCACATTCTTCAAAGATGAGGATGGCAGGATTTGGAGAATATTATTGCTCAATGACATAGGAAATGGAGGAAGATTTTATATTTACAATTGGTAGAGAATTTGATAGTATAGAAGAAGCATGGAAATTTTGAACTACTTAAGAAAGTTTTGAATTTTAAGTTAATTGGGTAGACATTCACTAGGTGATGCTGTTTAGAAGATTTGGATAGATTTGAATTAAGTTTTTCTTGATTTTGGTTATAATAATATTCTCCAAACCCTTGATTTAATAGATAATAGATTTTGTCATATGGATATAGGCACCCAATGCCTGTAGTTGCTATAGTCATGGGATCCAAGCTCATTTTATGTTCTCATATAATTTACAGTTTTATTGCAATCAATAATTTAAATATTAAATAGTTACAACCTTACAGGAACTTCCTCTGGATTTGCAGCATGAATTACGCCAGGGAGATTGAATAAACCTTGAAAGCTTCAAGGCACTACTGTCAATTAAATCAATAAGCAACAAACTAAAATATTAATTGGTCTTTATCATTTCATTGATGATCAAATGTCGAACTATTGTCTATCAATGGTAAGCATATAAATGAAAATTAACGCCTTCTATTTGACTTGGAATAAGGACGTTCAGGTTAGGCTTCGGCAAATGGATGACCTTGAGGTCCAAAATAAATTCCCTCGAAAGTTTCTCTCAAATTTAGCATAATAGCCTTGAAAAGCAATGTATTAACTATTTTTAGTTTATAACATCAAATCTAATGTTGTTCTAAACAAACTTAAAGTGAAATCGCTCCTCTCAATACCTTCTCTCTATGCCCAATTTTTTCCATTAATTATGAATTATGATCGAATGGTTAAGAGGAAAGCTTATAAATGAGCAATATGTCTGATTTAATGGTCTGCATTTGTTATTATCAGTGGGATACTCTTGGAAAGCAAGATCGTGACAATAAATAATATATTGATTTAATTTAATGTTACAATTAGCAATTAGTCACCATTCAAATAAAATCAAGGAAAAGAGGCTGTGTGGGTAGAATTTTATGGAAAGAAAGTATTGAGAAAACCCATTTCTTAATTATCTTAATGCACTAAAATATTAGAATGCGAGAGAAGTAGAATGCCAAAAGCCCAAGTCTCATAATTCTTGAAAGCAGCTATCACTCATAATTGAAACTATACTTGTTCCTCCCATCCTTACCTTGACTTTTAATTTGGAGAAGCAATCTACCTACCAAGCAAATTGAGAATTAGTTGAGCTTGAACAGAGGATAAAAAAAGCTACTTGTGCAGGTAGATTGGGGGATGCTAATTAACACGAAGCTTCAATGAATCTATTCCTCAAGTACATATATTTGCCAGAGACTTCTTTTCAAGCAGAGCCTCTAATTCCTCCTTAAACGGGTGATACATAACCTTCAATTACACATCATCCTGAGGTCTTGGTAGACTATTCTTGCTTCTTTATTCACATCTCCCATCTAGCTTCTTAAAAAAAAAATGGATATTGAAATTTGGGTAATCATATTCCAATGATTGTTGACAAAAATTGTAACATTAAATCTCAGGTGAACTTCCAGAACCAGATCTCTCCCGAGTGCCCAACACTCTGAATTACTCACCTTTAAGGGGAAAGAGGGTCAGAAAAGTGAGACCAGATCGTACTAGAAGGCGACGCCAAATATACCAACTTTCCATTTCTTGAAACGAAAATTCAATGATGGATGGAGGGTTGACCCCAACATGAATTTTCACGTTCAGACAAATCCATATGCCATCCATCCAATCCCTTTTTGGCCCCTGGTGCCCCCAGCCCCCATCTCTTTCTCCCTGTAATCCCATCTCCATCATCACATTCATCTGCAATCTTCTACGTCAATTTTTTCTGTGAAGTCTTGCATCCAGCAAACCTAATCAGTAGAAGGAGGAACAATTTACAGTTTTCGTTTTAAGATTGCGTTTAATAGAATCATCATTTCCTTCGCCTTATTTCTGGAAACTGTTCCCTAACACGTGGAAAACTATTTAGAATGCCTGCAAAACTCTATGAATGTTCAAATATACAATGGTGTTTGCAGATTCTGCAAATACAGTAGGAAAGAGAAGCACAAAACGATCAGCTTACAGCGCAGCTGCTGGGAAGCAGAGTACAAGTCACAAACAGTCCAAAAGGAAACCAAATTAACATTAACATTATAAAAACAAGGGTAGCATGAAAATTAAGGCAGATAGAGGCAGATGCGGAGAAACAAAAGAAAAGAGGAGGGAATAGACAACACCACCACCCCCCCCCCCCCAAAAAAAACCCAAAAAAAGAAATAAAAAAGGATGATACAAAGGCTGCGTTCTGAACAAGATTCGATTTTGAGGCTTGTTTCTACCAAAGAAGTCTGGATCTCTTTGACCCAGTAGGAGGGTTAATTTGTGGAACTATGAAATTATCATCCCTCGACCTTGATCTGCTGGCCTCAATATTGGTCGCCTCTTTTCTCTCTTGGAACTTGATCTGCCGATCCACTTGTTGGGTAAACAGAGTAGTGGGTGCTTGAGGAACCCAGATCCCCATACTCTCGGGCGAGAAAGAACACATATTTCTCTCAACATCAGCGTTGAACACGGCCAACATATCATCACTCTGCAATTTATTAGCCCTTAAAAAATGTCAGATTCGAGTACACGCAATAGAAAGCAGACACCTTCAATTCAGTGATAAAAAAAACTAGTTGTTTTTAAAACCCGAACTGGAGTGGAAACATTAAAGATAGGAGGTTCACCACAGACCTTACTGAAGCCAAACGGAACGGAAGAAGAATCGAGAAAGTCGTCGACCTGCCAGCCTGGGAGAGTCTCTATCAAATACTCAGATATGCTACTTGAGGAAACAATCCCTTCGTTCGTTAACAAGTTTCCCCCAGCCTTATTAATCGTGGGCGTGGCATATGTTGATGCTGTTGAAGGTGAAGCCTTGTCCATTGAAGAGGGATGTGAGATGGCAGAAGAAGCAGAAACAGAGTTCTTAGCTATATTCTGCGTCTTGGAATTAGACACAGAATCAGAACCATTCGTCAAGACGGAATTGGTAGTTGATGGTGAATAAAGCGTAGAAGCAGCAGAGAGCTTAATCCCCGTTAGAAGAAACCTATTATGCTTCTGGGTGTGCTCGTTGGCCGAGTGAATTGGCACATCACAATCTTTGCACAGAATTGCTCTGTCCTGTTGACAGAACACGAAAGCTCTTCGCTCCTACGATTTAAGAAAACCCCAGGGATATTTATTTGCATAGTGGAACACTAAACAATTGCTCTGAAACACACAATCCACAACCGTCATAGAGCTATTTACCTGGCAAATATCACAAAGAGGGAAATGGTTGGGAGAAGGGCGGTGAAGAGAAAAGCGTTGGTGTTTGGAGGCGAGCTTGTTGGCGTGGTGGACGCGCTGGTCGCAGGCATCACAGAGGGCGGCCTCGTCGGCGGTGCAGAATAGGGAAGCCTCGTGGTTATTACAGACGTCGCAGAGGATCTTCATTAGCTGAGAGTGGGATGGATCACCGAAACTCGGAGAAGAAAGGAAGGAGAGGAGAGACGGTAATTAGTGATTAGGATTGAGCCTTTTGGGTTTGCGATGTTCAAATTTAGATTATCTCTGTGGTGGACCACGCTTCTGCGCCGGAGACCATTTTACTGCTCTAACCGTATGTCACACTGCCATACGGAAAGGACCATTTATGTCAACAAAGTTAAAATTTCAATCATCAATTATTATTTAATGCCAATTTTTTAAATAACAAAGGTTATAAATTTTTAAGTTGGTTTCAACTATTAATTTGTTTTCTTAAATTTAATTTTTATTAGTTTAATGTCTTAAATTTTTTTAAATTATCACCAGAGTTTTTTAAGTTTTAAAATACAAATCAATTTTAAAAATAATTCAATATATAAAATATGTTAAAAACTTGGCATATATATACAATTAAATATGAATAAATTAACTTCAAATCAATTTAATTTTTATTAATATAATATTTTATATTACGTTTTGTTCTCTTATTGTTTAAAATTTTAGAGTTTATTTTTTCTACCCAAATAATTATACTTTTTTTTATTAATTACATGACTACTGTCAATATTTTGCTATCAAAGTCAACAAATTTTAACAATGTCATCTCATTTTTTAATAAGAAAAAACATGATCATCAATCTCTATAGATTCATCATATTTTGTTTTCAATCTCTACAATTTTTACAAGATTATATGATATTTGTTGCTCAAACTCTTATAGTTTCAGTGCTTTTAGTGGCTTCAATCCATACAAAGAGTGAAAATATTAAGAAAAAAAAACTTAAAAGAACTGAAAGTAAAATTTAATAAAATTATAAGGATCAATGATTATGTTTTCCCTTTAAATAATAAGGATTAAATTGATAATTAAAATAACATAACGGACTAAATTAATAAAAATTAAATTTGAAGGACTAAATTGATAACTAAAATAATAAAGGTTAAAAGTTACATTATCCTTTTTCTTTTGAAATAATTATAACTCATAAATTTCATTGAATATTAATCATTTTTATATCAGTTTATCTTTGAATGAATAATAACAATAATTATAAGTTGGCAAAACAACAAAAATAACTAGAAGGCGCACAATTTAAATACATCCTCTTTTTTGTTCATTAATGGTATTTTGGTAAAACAATATCCCATTTCATTGTAACCTAACCTAGCCTCTCTCTCATTTTTTTAAAGAGAAAACACTATTTTTTATTTCTGCACTTTATTTAAATTTTAATATAAGTCCTTATATTTTTTTTCGTTCTATGTCCCTGTACTTTTTTCCATTAACAACATTGGTCCCTACATTTTTAGAGGGACGTTGACATGGCACAACTAGTGTTAATAATACTAACATGTCAATTAACACCATTAATTTTATGCACACATGTTAAATTGATGTTGGCATGGGATTTTTAATAAGCAAATTTAAAAAAAAAAAAGCTTAAATGGGATTTGTGCTTTTTGTTGATTATCTAAAAACTCCAGGTTAGCCATTTTATTTCATCTGATGTAGGTTTTTTTTAATTTTTGCTTATTACATAATTTTATGTCAACATCATTTTGACATATAAGCACGAAATTAACAGTATTAATTGACATATCAACATTATTAACACCATTGATACTATGTCAATGTCCTTCTGAAAATGTAAGAACTAATGTTATAAATGAAGGAGAATGCAAGGGTCTAGAATACCAAAAACAAAGTGTGGAGATATATAGCAAAATATAAATAGAATGAAGGAACTAAAAGTAGTATTTTTTTTAATTTTTTTTTACTATAAATTTATGCCATGCATAAGCACAACTGCACAAGTGACTTGGGAGTAAAAGTTATCAATATTATTAGCAATTAAAATTAAAATCCAATATCACTTTAACAAAGTACTGCGTTGAAAACATTAGAAATGAAAAACTCTAATAAAAGAGCTTTTCCCATTGAAAATGAGACAGTTAAACATTAAAAAGGTAATATTTATATACTTAAATTTATATAGTTGATATAATTTTATCAAATCAAATCAAGGTGAGTGAAATTTAATATACTAATATCAAGATTTTGTTATAAGATAAATAATTTATAGAAGATACATATATCTTAATTTAATTAGAAACAAACACATTAAGTATATAAAGTTAAATATATAAATTTTTTCCAAACTTTAATTATTTCATACTATTAAATATCATTTAAACATAAAAAAATGGCCAATACTTTGTTTAAAAAAAATCAATACTCTACTATATTGCCAATACTTTGGCATTCGGCCTAATATTATTAGGGGAGGTTTCTCTCCTCTTCCTTCCCATCCTCTCCCCCTTCTTTTCATAGTGTCTAAAAAATATATCAAAGTTATTAAATTATCCAATTTTGATCTCTTATAGAATATGTTATTTTTTTATCATATTTTAAATTATTAATATTAAATTTTAGCAATTTAAGTTTTATTATTTATATTTTTTATAATTTAACATTTAATAATAAGTTTATAGGATATCAAATATGAATTATCTAAATCTTAATCCAATGGTTAGAAAGGGAAAAGAATGAGAAAGAAAGGGAGAGAATTTTCCAAAAAATTTGTCTCACAGCTATCAAATATGTAGGATAGGTTAAAAAAGATTCTGACCAAATAGACCTGAGTCTATATGATAAGTAAAAGGTTTAAAAACTGCATAAGTATTTTTTTTTAATAACTCAAGTCTGAACGTACCTAAAGTTTGATTTGGTTTGAAAGCCTATTTAAAAATTTAGTTAAAAATAAGCCTTTTAAATAGGTTTATATATTTATTTTAAATGTCTTAGATATGATTTAAGGCAATTAAAGTCTATATTTATATACCATAATTTACCAATTCTAATGTATATTAGGGAAAACAACAATCAAATAGGCTTGAACCTATTCTATATTTATTTTTTTAATAACTCAGGTCTGAACGTACCTAAACCTTAATTTGGTTTAAAAGCCTATTTAAAAATCTAATTAAAAATAAGCATTTTAAATAGGTTTACATATTCATTGTAAACATCTCAAATATGATTTAAGACAATTAAAGTCTATATTTATATATCATAATTTATCAATTCTAATGTATATTAGGAAAAACAACAATCGAGGACCACTGACTAAAATTTATATCAATTAAAGATCAATTATTGTTAAAACTTGAATGGATACTTGTTGATAAACAAGCTCGAATAGACTGTTATTAATTTAGAATGAGTTATTGTTAAAACTTGAATAGATACTTGACAAATATCCATTTAAGTTTTGACAATAATTAATTCTTGACTTATATAAATTTTGGTTAATGGTCCTTGATTGCTATTTTATCTATATAATAATTAATATGACTTATCATCTACAACATAAAAGTAAAGCAACAACATTCAATAAAAAAGTCCAGCATAATTTAAAACATAACTAAAAATAAATGGTAAAATTAATGTGTATATAATATATTACATAATATGTGTGTAGGTTGGCCTATTAAATTTGTAGGTTAGGCATAATCTATTTAACTAAAAAAGCTTAATCAAATGTTTGAATTTGGTTTGAGCCTGTTTAGTAAATAGACTATGTTGGGCTTGAAATAGATCAGGTTATCAAGAGTCTAGCCTATTTTTGTTCCTTACCTGTGAGATATTTTGTGTGAAAAAAAAAACAAGAAGAGGAGGAGAGAAACCTCTCCCAACATTATCCATGTTCAATCCGAAAAGAAAAACACTTATAACATGTGTAATGATGAATAGATGTCCTTATCTTTTGGTTATAAAAGCTTCACAGATCACTAATTTAGCATATGTAAAATCTCTCAATTATTTGCTATCAAAATCCACAAAATACGGTTGACATCGCGCATCATGTAACATCCCAATTTAAATTTTAATAGTTAATTTAGGTTAATAGAAATTTAAAAAAAAATAATATTTAGAGGTAAGAAAATTAGTAGAAAATGATTATTAAATCTAATTTACGATATAATTCTAAATTAAAAAAAATTAAAAAAATAATAAATTTATAAAAAAAATTAATTAATTAAAAAAAATTATTAAATTATTATTATAATAAAAAAGGGGAAAAGGTATGCCAAAAAAAAAAGGAAGAAGAAGAAGAAAAAGAATTTGCTTTCGGCGCCGCATGAATAGTAAATATAAAATAATAATAAAAAAAAGGGGAGAGAGAGAAGAAGAAATAATAAAAAAATGTGTGGGGCCCACTGAATTTTTATAAAACTCACCCATTTCCTTTCATTTCTTCAATTCCTTTCCTGCGTGCGAGCTGAGGCGGAGAGAAGCGAGTTGCCGGTGTGAAATATCTAAATTTTTAAGGTAAGAGTTTTTAATAGGATATTTAGGGTGTGATTTTAAGCTTTTCAAGACTAAGTAAGTGTTCTAAAATTTTTTCTTAATCATCCTTTTTCTTTGGTTTCTGAGTTTGTAGTGGTAGAAAATTTAAGATCTGGAAGAGGGATGAATTTATGTTGAATAAATATAATTTTTGAGGTTGTCAGTAGTATAATAAATGTTCTAGAGTATAAATTTATTGATGATCTTTGAATCTGTGGCTTATGGATCAAATTCTAAACTAGATCTGAAAATATATGTTGATTTATTGAGGTTTAGATGATTATTTGGGATGAGAAATGAATTATTATGGTTATAGGATTATGATTCTAAGCTAGAGACTTAATTTTTAATTTTTGGGTATTTTAGGTACGAATTTATAAAATAAAAAGAAAATTTTGATAATAGAAATTAATTTAGAAGTTGATTTTTAGATTATTAATGTTTATTGATAATTAAAAGAGGAGTTAAAAATTTTACTTAATAATATTAACTATAGATTTGTATTAAGATTGAAATTAGGAATTATATTATATTTTTAATTCTATTATTAGAATTATTTTATTAGTTTCAAAAATTGAAACTAATATTTATAAATAATATGTTATTTTGTAGATTGTATTACTGGTGAAGATTGTGGTGAGAGAGAAATTTTAAGGAATAATTTATTGAAAAAGCCACAAGGTAACCATGCTTTTAATTTGTGA